TCACACACAAAAGAATAAAACATTTTCGGAAAGTAGGACAAAATGTGCGTCTGACCGTTTTGTTAGATCAATTCATATACTATTTTTAGGGGTGAAAAAAGCCCTTAAATAGAGTGACATAAAACATATTTTTAAAGTGGTGAATCTAATATGTAGAGTTTAAAAACTTCATAATAATATTTAATGCTTAAAATACAAACATCAAAAACCTACTTTCGATACACACTGGTCGATTTGAATCCTGAGGATACATTGGAAGCTTATATGTCAGAAATATGAAAAATATAGTTTGAATAACAAAAATTATTTGTTAAAGAATATTTGAGAAAAAAATAGTGATGTAGAAAATTAAAAAAAAAATTTAAATAACTATATTTTTATGAAAAATTAATATTTTTAAACTTTACACGTGGATTTTGGAAAGTTGTAAAGGTAAATTTTAAGATCGCGTTATCCGCTTTTCTATATCCATATCAAAAATTATGTTTTTTTACGCCAAATAGTTTTGGCGAGAACGAGAATCTCGCGAAAAAGACAATGAAAATACTCGCTCGCAATGCATCACTACTTTCTGCACACCTTTTAAAAAGTAATTAAATGTTAAATTTATGTTCAAATCACGCTATTTTCAATTTGCAAAAAAATGTAATTTGAAGTGATGATACTTGACTTTCATTTCATCTAAATATAATAGCTTAATAATAAATTTTAATAAATAAATAAAAATGATAATAATAAATAGAAAAATAAAAAACTAGCAATTACTTTCACAATAACAACAAATTATTCTCAGGATATCTTTAAAAAAATGCAAGATATCCTAAGGTATCCAGAGGATATCCGCAGAAAATCCAATCCGCCACTTTATAGGATACTGTGAGATATCTCTAAAATGTCCTGGAAATATCTCTAGAACATCCTAGACATATCTGTAGGACAAATTAAAATATGAATATGAATGAGCGCGTAAACTTTATTTAAGCCAGATAGTTAAAAATAGATTACATCAACTCAGAGTGAATGTAAAGAAAATTTAAAACTTTTTTATACTTCTATTTGGAATATATTATAGATATCTTATAGAATTTTACTTATTTATTCAATTTATATAGAAGTATTTCAATTTCTATAGTTATTTTATGTATATCCTGGGGATAACTTAGAGATATCTTTAGGATATTCAAGCAACACTAGTCAAGTGCCAAGCCGGGATTCATTTCTCCCCATGTAAATTTTGTAGATAATTGAAAAATATTTGATACTTGTTTTGTTCTTTCAGCAGACTAAATAAGTTTTAAGGGATAAAAATAGGGGTTGAAGGTTGATTGTTTACCATATTCAGCCACAAATAACTCAAATGATCAAAGTTTTTAAAAAATTCATGGAAAACGACTGAAAATTCTTACTCGGGGGTTTCTGTGGTTGCTGAATTCCAATTTGATGTCAGATTTTAAAAATTCAAAATGGCGACCAACAAAATTTAGAAGTTGCCGGATTGCGCTAAAAAATACTTACTCGGGGGTTTTTGGGGTGGCTGAATTCAAATTTGATATCAAGTTTTTAAAATTCAAAATGTCGGATTCAAAAGTCAACAAAAAATTTAATTTAGCAAGTGTACATTATTTAAGGTCGTCCATATACACTGAAAAAAAAAATTATTTGATTTAAGTAACCGATTAATTGACTATTATCAATTAAATATTTACTTGAATCAAATAATATTTATTGGAGTAAATTTAATGGTATTTGCTTCAAATACTGAAATTATTGGTTCAAATAACAATTAATTGACTCCAATAAATATTATTTGATTCAAGTAAATATTTAATTGATAATATAGTCAATTAATCGGTTACTTGAATCAAATACATTTTTTTAGTGTACTATGTGTAAAAATTTAAAGATTTAATTATTTTCTATTATTTTTATAAAATTATTTAAAATTAATATGAATCTTCTTAAATTATATTTAATATATTTAACTCATATTTAGTATTTATATAATAAATTTTTATATTGTTAAAATAAAATTACCTAAACTTAAATGAGGCGAATAATCGGTATTTATATTTATACATATTTAATATCCATCTATTTGAATGAAATAAATAAATTAATATCAAATGTGAAAGAAGTTAATCTCTCCGAATTAATTTCTCACTTAAGCTTCTTTAATTTCATGTATCAAACAGTACAACTGTCCTAATACAGAAACCTGCTTTTTCTGATAAATATTTACGAAATTAATCAATAATTTCAAAATTATCAAAGAACTTAGGAAAAACAGGAGCATGGTGGGAAAGAAGCTTAAATGAGAAATTGATTCGGAGAGATTGCTAATTTCTTTCACATTTGATATATTGCTACCGTATAATAAATTCTCTTCCTTTAATTAATAAATAAATTAATAGTTTCAAATAACTCATTTATTATTGTTTTAATAAGTGATTTATTTGATCCAAATATTTTTTTATTTGTTTGATTAAATACTTTATTAGCATAAAGCATGTTATTTTATAATCATTAACATTATTATAAATAATATAATAAATGCACTAGCCTGTATATTCTCTAAAATAAATAAATAAATTATTTGAATTAAATAATTTAGTTTACTTCAAGTCGTAAAATGAATTAATTGCGCCAAATAATTTTTATTAATATTAAATATCCAATTAATTGAGTGAAATAAATAAATTAAATGTTTTAAATAACTCATTATTTTGGTTGCAATAAGTTATTTATTTGATTCAAATATTTTTTATTTTTTCCATTATTATTCTATATCTGTTATGGGACTATTCAAGAATCCATACAAAGGAATTTGTTACAATAACTTAAAATATTTAGAATGCATTGTTTTAATTAAATAATTTAGTTTACTTGAAGAGGTAAAATAAATTAATTGTGTCAAGTAATGTTTATTTATATCTATATTTATTTCAAATAACTCATTATTTGTATTAAATAAATTCATTTATTAGAGTCAATTTATAATTATTTGATTCAAATGATTCAAGTTATTTGAAGCAAATAAATATTTATTAGATTTAAATAAAAATTATTTGAATAAAATAAATATTTTTCAAATAATTTGAATTAATTAAAAAAAAAATTTTTTTAGTGTATTCTCTAATAATTATTAACCATTTTCATAGTGAAAATTTATCACTTACTTATTATTTAAGAAAAAATTAAACAATTTTGTTCAACTGAATTTATGCAATAGCTAAAATAATTTCATCTCCGAAGTTTTTTTTAACATATCTCCAATAGGACTTCTTTATTAAAAAAACTAAATTTTTATGGTTCTCTTTTACTTTTAAAATTTGTTTTAAATTAGTGTCAGAAAATATATCTAATGTTTCTTCTATCATTATATGAACTAAGCAAATTTTCTTTCTCACTTTTTTTATAATTATTTAAAAACAAAAATATAATATATCATTAAAGTTGATATTAAAACGAAAAATAGAAACAATAATAAAAAAACTGCTTTATCACTAATAATAGTTTTGTAATGGTTGATTTTTTTTATCGAACGCGTCACATTTAATATTTTCTAATGATAAAATCACGAAAATAAAATAGAATTAAATTCAGGAAGTAAAGAAATATAACAAATATATAATTATACATGCGCGTACAATAGACTACTCACTGATTGTTATACTAATGAATCAAACCTTTCGAACAATAGGTCCTTTGTTTATGAAGGTAAAATTTTATAAACTACGTACCTGTATTAAGAAGCAGGCCTTTCAATTTCTTTTTCAATCTCTATTCAATAACATTTAGTTATTACTCTCTCTATGCAATGAAAATTGCATGAAATCCTCTCTTTTCAGGTAACGATATTACTTTCTTCCTGTTTTCATATAAGGATTTTAAAAATTATCAGACATCAGTTTTATATGTGATAAAAATGTTTAAACTTTGTCTACATGTTGAATCATTGATTAACTGTTAATCGGAGTTGGTGAAACTATGGCCCTTAGTCTCAATGGGTTAATAAAACCGAAAAACCCCCGTTTCGCCTAAAATCGACAAAAATATCATTCTTATTTGTAAAAATGTATATTGCAATCATTTAAAGCAAACTTCCTAATGGCCCAAATATATAGGCCTTAGAGGCCCTCCTCCTTTCGAAACTTACATAATAGTCGCGACAGTAACCCCAAAACCCCATAGAATGAAATTGACATCACAAGTAATCATTTTTAATCAAATCCTATAGGAAAGTATATGAATTCTTGAAGGTTATCCTTATAGGAATCCACATAAGATCTTATATAGAAAACTATACACTGAAAAAAATTCTGTGTCGCTACCTTACCTACGAATGTCGCTACCACACAGATCAGATGGTAAGTACTATCCCGATTTCGGAAGGGAGATTAGCTCTCAAGGGAACACTACCTCACCGCGAGAGAATACCGCGTGCTCAATACGAGGTTGCACCAATCTCGAGATATCGGTATGACAGCCTCCCGTCTATTCGGAAAGGCTACCTGCTCTCGAGATTCGTTGACGCACCCGAAAACCAAAGGGCAGAGCACTCGAGGCAAGAGAATGTAGCGCCATCACCACACATGTGGCAGCCACACAGAATTTTTTTCAGTGTAGGCATCTTATTACATTCCCAAAGGAGCCTTATAGGAATCTAGAAAGAACCCTACAGGGAAACATATGTTTTTCATACAAGAAATTTCTTGATAGGAACTTACATAGGTTCCTATAGAAAATCCTATAATAATTTATTTAGGATCCCTATAGGATTCCTTGTAGGAACCTATATAGTATTTTTCAATAGGGTAGCCAAGAGTTTTTGGGTTTGCTGATTCTGATTTTTATCACAGATTTCTATAATAATAATATTCTATATTATCACCATTTCTATAAGAAAGAAATTAATGCACACTAATTTACTAAGAACTCTTTAAAGATGAATACTACAGCTATAATTATATTATATATTACAATTAACTTCTTTGTTCTAGTTTGATGGGGTAGATTCGGTGTCTACTATGGCTTCTAAAAGAATATTACTTTGTAAGTATAGAAATTCAACCGAACAAAATTTTTTGGTTTTGAAACATTATTTAGGATAGGATAAAAGAACACCCAGAAAAATATATATTTGATTAATTGTCAAAGCTTACTAAACTTTTTATTTATTTCAAATAAATTTTATTTGGTTCAAATATCGATTCGGGTTTTCATATCGGAAAACCCCCCGGAAGCAGACTAGTGCTTCCGTCAAGATATCCATGGATGATATGAGGGAATGTAAGAAGACTTTTTTTTTCTTTTACAGGTACTACAACACTTCTTTTGGCACGCGCAATTTTAGCAAATGTAAACATACATAACTACAACGCAGTAAGTAATTTATATTCTTCATAGTTTACTGTCAAACAAATCTGTTAGTTTGTTGTATCCTGTATAGTTTTCCGATGAATTGAAGAATATGATTGTAGAAAAGAAAATAGCCCATGCACTATAAAACGTACACGAGATATTATGAAAGATTTTGAGTTTTGCGATCAAAATATAAAAAATGGCCGAGCAAAATTACAATCAATACTTATTAGATACTGAGACTACTTTACTAAAAATCCAAAACTCTTTTGGAATTTTAAGAACAATAATAAAAATTGAAAATTTTCTTTTCCCGCTGAAATGTATTTTGGACAATCCACAGCTATAGATAATTTGAGTTTTGCTAATTTATTTGCTGATTTTTTAAAATCAGTGTCTAATCGAGAGTTTGATCAAAATACGCTCTTTAAATAATAATAAGGATCCTGGTCATGATAGAATTCCGGCAACATTTTTGAAATCATGCAGTTCCTCAATCATTGTGCTACTCTTGTATATATATTTAATAACTCTTTAAAAATTGGTTATTTTCCACAATACTGGAAGATGGGAACGATCTCACCTATATATAAGGCTGGAGATAAATCCAAAGTTCAGAATTATCGACCTGTTACTATACTAAGGGCTAGTTTCACCAACTCCGATTAAAAGTTAATCAACGATTAATGTCAGTTTAACCGCTCATGATTGGTAGGTTCAGGATTTAATCATTGATTAACTTTTAATCGGTGTTGGTAAAACCGGTCCTAAGTGCGGTACCGTAATCTGGGGCTATAAGGAACAGATTTCAGCTTTAAAGTCTTGCAACTTTTTTGTTTATTGAAATATTGCCTTAATTTTTTTTTCTTTTCTTGATCTTGGCGAGCACTTTGAAGGGTTAAAGTATTGTTTTGATCAAAGCTGGAATTTTAAGCAAAAAATACGAAAAAGACGCAATTTTTCGAAATTACAAAATGGGGCTATAAGGAACAAGGCGGTAAAACTATTGGAAAACGTATTTAAAGTTAAAGAAATTATTTTTTATTGATCGAAAGTAAACACAGAATATAAAACAAATGTAAAAACAAAACTAAACGTTGCTGGTATCATCAGTTGAGGTCGATGATGATAACTGGTCGTTTTTTGTGACTTGTCGGTACCAACACTCTTTTACAATTTCGAACCATCTTTGAACACTAAAAACCAAATTAGGTGATAAAAAACAAACGAAATTACGAAAAACTTACGTTTTAACAACACACTTTAACAATTCGGAAGAAATAATTGTGTTCCTTATATACCCGCCGTTTGTGAATTTTGGGTTTTTTCTCGTAAATCTTACTGTAAATACAAAATAAACGTATTTATTACTTAGTGACCTCAATAAAACTTCCCATAATAAATCCCTTTAATAAAAAAAAATTACTTTGAGAAGTTAAAATAGGAACAACTTACCTCGGCAATCAAATGTTTCCCAAGTTTGAAATTTCACTAAAACACAATTACTCACTTACAAGCTACTACTATTCACAAAATTATTAATAGTCGCAATTATTGCATTGAGTAGTATTGGCAGTTACCCCAGCAACAATTTTTCAAAAGCAAGTAACACAATTTATTCATACACGGCCCCGATAACTTCAACTCCACTCGAACACAGAGTTTTGTTCCTTATAGCCCCGGTGTTCCTTATAGCCCCGGTTTACGGTACCTAAATTGTTTGAAAGTTTGGTCTTTGATCAGGTATATATCTGGCATTTCAAGGTGTTCTGATTGAGGAGCAGTACGGTTTCTGAAGGGGGCGTTCTGCTTTGACAAATTTGTCTGTCTGGTGTTGAAATTCGATCAAGCTGACCGTGGATTAGAAGAAACAATAAAATTAAGGGCACAATCCTCTTCGAATTATGTCGATCACTTTTATTTAACGCTTTTAATGCTTTGTGATTTTTACAGGTGCATAGATATCCAACTGCCTATGAAAATGATTGGCGTCCTGTATTAAATAAAGAAGCAATAAAATTTAAACCTGCACATCGTGCAAATGTGTGGAGCGCTGCGGTACCTGTTCAGCCCGGTTTGAAGATAATACAAGAATATTCAGCTAATACAAAAATACATAATGCTCAGAAAGGTTATGAATCCAGGGAAATTTATCCTTCAAAAATATTAGAAAATGTCAATCATTTTACACACACTAACACGGAATTGCTTCCCTCAGAGACTCGAAAGTATTCGTTTCTTCTGCCTACTAATAGAGATCCTTTTATCCTTCAGGACAATTCATTTAAAAGTTTAACAATGAAACCTTCTAACAGAGAAGCAACACCATATTATTCTAATATACCTAAATCTTTTTTAGTGTCAGAAATGCCACATCCCATTAGGCAACACTTTTTCACAGAAAATACCAAGCCATCTTATCCTTTACCAGACCGATCAGTTGTAACCTACATAAATCAAAACTTAAATAAACAGTTTCCTGCTCTTCCTAGTGTTGAATTTAATAACAAATTTTCAAATAATATAACCGCTCCACAGAATTATAATGGAAATGGAAATTTTCAAACATACAATACAAATTTTCCGAACAATTTTAATCCCTTAAATCAAACTAACTCACAAAAGATTACTAAAATAAATAATCAACATAATTTAGTTCATGAATATCCAGAAAAAACCTATGTTACTGCGTTTTCAAGGGTTAAAGTCAAACCGATTTATCAAAATTATGTTATTCCTTCTAAAATGTATGCTCCAAATTTATTACCAATGCAGGTAAATTATCTCCATCATTATTCCAGCAATGTAAAAAAGAACAACTCAGAATCACACCCTGAAGAATATCATTCTGATAATAATAATAATAATATTGAAAGTATATACAAAGTATTTCGTGGACCCTCAATTAAAAGCAATCTAGATTTAACATATATTATACCAAAGTTTTCAAACATAACACAAAAGGAAGCAAATTTAAAATATACAACACCGGATACGCAACAATACTTTAAAAAAAAAGAAATTCCACTCGAAATTCCAGAATATCAAACAATACAAAATAAATACAAAGAAGAAGAAAATATACACTTTAAACCATACATAAGCAATAGACCTTTTAAATTATTAACATCAACGAATACACCTTTGGAAAGAGAATTTCCAAGACAAACTGAAATTTCAACATTGCAAAATAAATATAATGACGACATTGAGGAATTTGAAGATTATGAAGGACAAGAAAAAATTCAGAATCAACAAGAAAGTTTAAAATATTCAGGTAATTTTTTCTCAATTATTCTATTCATAGTACAATTTGGGAAAAATTAGTTTGCATTTTATATTTTAATTTCCAATCAAATCTGTTTTACTTCTATAATTTCATATTTCTCGGAACTAACATTTATTTAAAAAGAAGCTTTAAATATAAGAAATGATATAAAGTTAAAAATTCTTTGCAGGCATATATAGATTTACCCTTTATGTGAATAATTATTATAAATCGGTATCTAATTATTATTATTATTTACACTTTTAGGATTTTCAGACCAGTTGTTTTCTAAGAAATACAATTCTGGACAGGGCGTTGAGTTAAAAAATAATCTTCTTACTCAAAGTCTTCCGCAAAATAGAAATAGAAGTCATGTATTCTACGAAAATGTTTTACCTAGACTACCTGTGACGAAAGCTTATAGCCTAATGACCGAACTACCTTTCTTCTATAATACTGTTACGCCTTCTCCTATCACAGGTAATATTTACTTACTATTAAAATAATTGTATAGTATGATATTCACTCTTCAAAGTATTACATAACCTATGGTCAACAATGATACATTGCCATTTGAATTATTATTATTAATGCCACACTTTATTTCATTGATGAAATCAAAGATTTTGACAGAGTTTTTATCATATTTTTAAATTCTCCAACATCTAATAATATTTTTGAAATTTCAGACACCCCGACAGAAGCAACTGTTTATACAACTATTCAAACAGTACAAATTACATCAACAGAAAGAGAAAAGGAATTAAAGAAAGTGAAAAGTGATCGTTTTGTTGGACAAAGTCGAAGAAGACCTACACAAGTAGCTCAGAGAGCTCTCAATACAACACCAAAAATTAATGTAACCCCAATGAAAAAAGAACTTATTACTGATTTTGAAACAAATAAAGATGAAGAAAAGGTAATTGATACTGAAATAAATGCAAAGTTCATAAAAAATAAGAGCGATTCGGAAATTGAATCAACAAAGAGAGAATCTACGTATACTACTGAAACTTTCACAAGAATTTTAGGAGAAAGTAAGGATAATTTTGCTACAACGGAAGAATTGAACATAAATTGTTCAGGCTTATGTTCGTCTGATAAAGATAATTATGAATATGAAATTACTTCAACACAAACTTCAATAGTAAGTAATCAGGATTATACAACAGAATCTTTAAAAATATCCACGATTAATAATTACGAAAATACGGATCAAAATTATGGTATTTTAACAACCGTTTCTGGATTAGTAACGCACTCATTCAGCACAAAATACGAACCAAAGATATCAGCAACGACTCCTGCTACTATTGTTAAAACAACTCCCAGAATTCGATTTTCTAAACCCATAAATACTTTAAGACCACGATTTAGCGTGAAAGATTATAAAACAAAACTCGATGATAGAAACAGAAAATCTCAAACTTCTACGACAGAATCAAACGCAGAAATTATTAATATTAAAAAAAAATCTCCAATGGACAGAAAGCAATTTGAGGCAACAAGAGATGTTGTAGGTAGATATAAGTATATGTCAAGAATACCATTCAGAACAAGTACAACAACACCAACTACAGAAAACCAAGGAAATTCTACACCTAATGCACAGATAAGGAAAAAAATCAATAAATATGTTCCTAAGGAAAGATTTAACCTGAGACCTCTAAATATAAGTAGAACCCCATTTGTTTTCTCAACAAAACAAAAAAGTCTTTACAATTTCACACATCCTGGAGATAATAATTATTCTTTAACCGGAAATCATGGAGAGAGTAAATTTAATGCCAATACATCATCTTCAATTGAGGGCGACATAGAAATAGTCACATCTTCAAATGTTGACAATCGAAATGAAGTAAAAGTTACTCCAGCACAAAATAAAAAAATAAAGCACAACTTTAATCTCTATCGACCAATTGAGAAACTTGATGTAAAGAAAAGTGAAATTTTCAAAGTAGTGAATAATTTTCCGAAATTAACCAATGAACAAGAAGATGAAGAACTTTTAGAAAAAGCATCTCAAAGTGTAGCGGATTTGACGAGTTCTGCTTCTTCATTACACAATAAAGGAAGTACGTCTAAAGCAGTTTCACAGTCGCCAGATAAGACAATATTTTTAACACATTTTAAATCCACGTATGATACACCAACTTTACCTATTGAAGCCTTTTTCCACGATTTATCTGATATGACAACATAATTATTAAACATAGTTTTATCATTATGATACTACTTATGTGGTTAAAATATTATTAATAAAATGAAACGTCTAAAATCTTATTTTATTAATGGTTTTATCATATTGACAAACAAATTCTTTTACCCTATTTCCAAAAAGTTTTTAACTTTTTCCCTTTTCCTAATGTTAACTTCAATTCTAAGTTTTTGTTAGATTCAATTATTTTCATAGCGAATCTCCGGAGACGAATCGAGAAGAAGTTGTATTGCAGTGAGAATCGTATCTCACAACAGTTGATGCCAGTCCATAAAAAGCTTCCATCAAAGTAATCTAGAGCATCACTCAGAGAACCACCTATTATTTCGCAGTTTTCTGCATTTCTATTTCATATTTATCAATAGATGAAAGGATTTTTCAGCTTTAGCATGTTCCTTATACACACAGAAAAAAACTGAACTCAAAATGAGTCAGAAAAGTGACTCATTATAAAGCTGCAACAAAAATAAACCTCATAGATGGCGCCTTTGTCTATGTCATTTAACCCTTTGAAGCCTACATTTTTCGGATACAGTTTCGAAAACGTCCCCCCTCCGATTTTGATCAAACTTGGTATACTTACGTAATTTGATGCGTTGATTACCAAAATGATAGCGAAAATTGGCGAAAAATTAATATTCATGGTAAAACCAAAAAAATTCCATAGAAACAGTTTTTTTGCGTTTAACTCGTAAAAAATGCAAAATTTCAAACAAAGTATATAGATCTCATAAAATACACATTTTATGTTCTCATCATTATTTGCTAAAATCTATTATTTTCTGAGAAAAATGTAAAAAAAACTATAAAAACGGGTTAAAATATACTTTCGCTCAAAAGACCATCCAATTAATTTTTTTGAATAATTGACGTAAAATGATTTTTTCAGGTAAATGGTAATCTAAATAAACGTAGGTATCTGAAAAGCAAAATTAATTTTTCTGGATTGTTTTAACTATTAAAAAAAATTATTAATAATCTATGTTTTTCACATTTACATTTTTCACTCTAACATAAAAGCCACCCTAAAAAAATTTCTTTTTGGAAATGAAGTATGTTAAAGTATACATAAGAACAAGTATGTATAGTAGGTTTTTAGGTCTGTGTAATGCGTGGTTGCCATGTTATTAGGGGCTCAATTTTTTTTCAGTATAATTTTCAAATGTCAATATCTTTTACCCATATCAATGGATTTTAAAGTTGTATAAGTGTTTTTAGTAGAGAATTTTCCAAACTTTTGAATGAAATTACTAATTATTTAAAAAAATGTAGTTTCATAAAAAAAAATTAAAAATTTTTTTTCAATTTCCCCCCCTCTTTCACCCCCTTCAAATTTTTTCAAAAATACCCAAAAATGTTCTTTATTTTATAAGCTTTTTACCACTCAAAAGCCATTTTTGGACATTGAAATGCGTACAAGCTACAGATGATTTTGTAACTCGGTGCAACTCATCAATTTTGCCCTTATTATTATAATTTTTACCATAGTGTTGTGCAGTGACTGTCAATTAGGAATTTTTTAGTAAAATATATTGTTTGGAACATGGGAAGTAGGTGTTTTACATTGCACAATTAACAATTCATTATTTAAAAAAAATCTAGACTTCAAATCTGTGTTTAATTACTTTAAAAAATACTGAATCACCATATGTATTAGGGTAGTTCTTATTTTTGAAAAATTGGAATTTCTTAGGTCGCTGGCCGGAATTTGAATTAAAATGCAAAAAATAAGCTGCCCACAAGAACAGCCCATTTTATAAATATTAACCCGTGCCGACGAAGGGTTAAAGTTTAAATGGGGTTTAACATGGGTTTGGTGCACTTCTGCAAACTTTGTATTATAACTTTTTTATTTCTTAAAAATTTGACTTGGGTCTATGTATTCCCACAGTTTTTTATACGCTGAACACGAATATGATGTCAAAAATATCTTTTGACAGCTACCGGTTGTCAAAAAGCTGTCAAAATTCTGTCAAATTTTAAAAATGAGAGTTTTCACGACTTTTAGAATAACTTCTACGAATAAAAAGGTTTCTTGTGAAAATTTCAGTTTATATCTAGCAATTTAATACACTTTGACGGTTGATAGCTGTCAACTGCCAAAATATATTAAATACCTATATCAATTGGGCTGTTCTTGTGGGTAGCTCATTTTTTCACATTTTTATTCAAATTACGGCCGGCGACCTAAGAAATTCCAACTTTTCCAAAATAAGAACCACCTTAATATGTATTTTTCTTATTCATAACACTTCATGTGATTAGAATATCACTGCTTTTATAGAATTTCGTTAATATCCGTAGATTTTTACACAGTAAATAAATATATTTACTTTACAATTAGTTGTAATATATATATATATATATATATATTATTGATATTAACGAAATTCTATAAAAGCAGTGATATTCTAATCACATGAAGTGCTATGAATAAGTAAAATACATCTTTGGCTTGGTGGAAAATTGTACCATTTCAAGAATTCGTTATAAACTATACCATTTTAAAAGTTTATTATACACTGAAAAAAAAGTGCTGTTGAATCAAATAGCTCCATGCTATTGAATTTCCCGTCATTGATTCAATGACACATTTATTAATCGAAAAGTATATTGCTTAAAACGAAAAAATGAAACTGTTTAAATTAAAAGTACGGTACTGTAGAATTAATGATATTGTGCAAATTGTTTCTAAAGTTCATCTATATATAGCAACAGAATAATTTATTGCTTCTTTGACATTATTCATTTGAAGCATCTAATAGATAAATTTGAAGAAAATGCGTGTAAATTTAAATCAAATGAATAATTGTTTGCTACAAAGAAGCGCGCTCTGAAAACGAAAGCATATGCTTTCGTTTCAATGAGTGGTGCTATTGCGGACTGCCTATAGCATATGCTATAAAAATAAGAACACTATGTATTTGAGACATTGACAGGTGCTAAATTTATTGAAATACTAACCCACATATATTTATATGTTTATTAAACCTGTCGTTTTTGCGATTCCAATATAAAAAAGTATTATTTAAATTCTTTTAATTAATTAATGACTAGTTAAATATAAATTCCCTTATATACGCGAAAAATCTCGAGCACGGTATTAAACCACAAAGTTAGTGCCCAATGTTGAGAAGCGGATGTATTACATTGCAGCGCGGCGGTTCTCGTCTATCACGGAAGTTAAGCGTCGTTGGTCGCGGTTACTAAATGGATGGGTGACCGCTTGGGAGTAGCCGCATTTTTCTGACTAAAAAAGGTAAGTGTGTTTGAATGTGTATGTGTGTGTGTTTAGCCGTTGGAAAAAATGAAAAAAGTAATAAAAATGTGTATGTTTGTGTGTAAAATTGAAAAAAGATGTGTATAAGAAGTGTTGTGTTAAAGGTGTGAGAATTAATTATAGTATATAAAAAACATGTGAACAAAAATTTCCTTTTTTCAATTTATCGTTGGTATATATTTAACCACATAAAAGAATTGAATTAACAGTATGGTGTTATTCAATCGATAGCAACAACTAAAAAAATTAAAAGTACTAGTTTTTGAATCATAAAAATGATGCTTTTAAATTTAAAAGTTATAGTCATTGACTCAAAAGCATATACTGTTAAATTAAAAAATTTTGTTTATTGATTCAAAAGGATTCACCTTCGAATTAACATAGTATGCTGTCAATTTGAGAAATATGCTTTTGTTTCAAAGAAAGTGATACTATCGAATCATTAGAATCGGTGCTTTCAAAACAACAGCATATACGTTAGGCAGCCCGTTATGACACTATTCAATGAATCAAACCCATATGTCATTGATTCAACAGCATTTTTTTCTCAGTGTATAACATATCATTTCGATGAAGATCTAGAAAAGCGTTGCATTAAAGAATTTCTAATCATTAACAAGCAATTAATTTAAATTATTAGAAATTTTGAATTAATACATTGAAAAGATAGAATATTTAAGATACCGCTTTTTAAAAATGCATAACCTTATTTTATGTCTAGCATCAGTGTTGGAAAAAAGCAAAAAACTTTTTTCTCGAAATGGTACGATTTAAAAACATTTACCGAAATGGTACAGTTTTCCACCAAGCCGACGACATATGGTGATTCAGTATTTTTTAAAGTAATTAAACACAGATTTGAAGTCTAGATTTTATTTAAAATAATGAATTTTTAATAGTGTAATGTGAAACACCTACTTCCCATGTTCCAAACAATATATTTTACTAAAAAATTCCTAATAATTGACAGTCACTGCACAACACTATGGTAAAAATTATAATAATAAGGGCAAAATTGATGAGTTGCACCGAGTTACAAAATCATCTGTAGCTTGTACGCATTTCAATGTCCCAAAATGGCTTTTGAGGGGTAAAAAGCTTATAAAATAAGGAACATTTTTGGGTATTTTTGAAAAAATTTGAAGGGGAAAAGAGGGGGGGGGAAGTGAAAAAAAAATTTTTTTAATTTTTTTTTATGAAACTACATTTTTTTAAATAATTAGTAATTTCATTCAAAAGTTTGGAAAATTCTCTACTAAAAACACTTATACAACTTTAAAATCCATTGACATGGGTAAAAGATATTGCCATTTGAAAATTATACTGAAAAAAAATTGAGTCCCTGATAACATGGCAACCACGCATTACACAGACCTAAAAACCTACTATACATACTTGTTCTTATGTATACTTTAACATACTTCATTTCCAAAAAGAAATTTTTTTAGGGTGGCTTTTATGTTAGAGAATGCCTCACATATGGACACAAATTTTGTGAATTTTATGCGAACTCAAATATAATTCGCTTAATTTAAAAAATTATATACATTCATAATTGCAACTTAAAAACTTTTGGCCTTTTTGACGATCGTTTTTTTTTTAAACAATTTCAAATTTATTGTTATTCTTTCGAAATAAATAAAAATACATTAATTCTATTTCAATCAAATAAGATTGACCTTTTTGTAAATTTTATAAGGTTTTGGAATAGGTATTTTTTAAATTTCTCTAGCTTCATTTTATTTAAAGATTTATCGCAGTTTGAAGAGAGTCGTGCGTTTTTGCTGACAGTCGATGGAGTGTCAACTCAATTATGGACGATACTGTAAAATTTATTATTCAAGGAGTATATTGAGCATTAAAATATATTACATTAAAAATAAAATCTTTATTTGTACTGATTGAAAATGTATAAATCCACAATAAGTGCACAAAAAAGTACGTATCATGTATGTTGTTTTTTTATGCTATCAGTGATAAATGTCACTCTGACAAAATGAAATTTTCCATAAAAACAAGTAAACAAGTTTAATTTTATTTGGGTTTCTGAAACACAAAAATAATAACACTATATGTTTTATTATAATCTTTTACACAATAAAATATTTTATTATTTTTAAGGAGAGGCGATTGATAATAATGCTACTGTATTTATCAAAGCTCTTACATTTCTGTATATAATTAAATCTTCTATAGATAGACCCAAATGTGTGTATACACAAAGTTTAAATAAATAGTAATAAAATTTATAAAAAAAGATACGATTCAGGTCACAAAATTAAATAAATTTTAGATGTAAAAATTTATTAGTTTTTCGCATTTATTATAAAAAATATTGGTTTCAGAAGACTTGTTAATAATTGAAAATTTAAAAGAGATCATAAATATTAAATTTTATAGGGGTACATAGTCAAGGTTGGCCCATGATTTAATATGAATTTGACAGATACTTTTTAAATAAATATACAAGTAAACATTGTCATTCACACACACACACACAGACACACATTTTTCCAAAGATATTAGAAATATACTATTAAATCCTTTAAATTTTGTTTATTATTACATTAAGTAAGTTTGAACTGTTACGCGCTACTTTTTTGTAACAGTAACATATTCTTTTTGTATTTGTAACCCTTTACAAGTTGTAAACAATAAAGGATAAATTTTTCGTAACGCTAAAAATGTTATTTTATTTTTTAACGGTAATGCCCTTTGAATTTCAAACATGGGCTAACCTTGGCTTCATATATTTTTTTGAAATCTTTATCACTTTTTTATTTTAAAATTAATCAATTTACCCTGTCGAGCAAGTGTTCCTACAACACAGGACTTTCCAACAATATACTTCAATTGACCAAATTCATTTTTAAAAAAAAGTTATAAACATAAGTCAAAAAGTGGGCCGACCTTGACTATGTTCCCCTAGTTTCAGGTACTTTTTCTAGTTAAAAAGATTAAAATTATAAAATTATATACCTGTTGAATTCGTAGAACTTGATCTAAAGCATGGGGTAATAGAGGACGTATGCTATTAATTTCCAACATCGTTAAATTATCCAATCTTGCATGCTGTCCTTCTTTTGTTATAAAATTATAAACAGAAGATCTTAATTTTGCCATTCTTATGTCCCATATATCCTGCAAATTTTTTTATGATAAGTACAGATATACTTTGAAAGATTAGAAAAAATGTTATTCAAAAACGTAAAAGCTGTCTATTTTCAGACTTTTATCAGTCGATATTATATTATTAATTTATCTCAATCCAATTCATTTGTAGTTTTACTCAGAAAGGCGATTTATGTTTTAAAATTTAATTAAATTTCAAAATAAAAATTTACTAGTTTTTAATTTTTATTGTAAAAAATATTCGTTCTATAAAAAGAAAACAATAAGAAACAATATGGCAGATGTTCAATGAAAAATAATATGTTATCATTCTTTAGAAACTTTTTTGCAAATCGATAAAGTATTTAGTAAATTAAAATAAAGAAAAAGTTTTTAAAAAAATAAGTGATTTTAATTAATTAAGTTTAATTCTTAATAAAATAATCATTTTAATTTTAATTAAATTATTATTATTATTATTATTATTATTATTATTTTATTTTTTTTATTTTAATTTTTTTTTTATCATTTTTCAGTAAAATAATCCTGAATAAAAAAATTTTCTGTTTAATGTTTCAACTTTAATTGAGATTAATTCTCTTAATCTCCAATACAATATATACTTTATATAGACCAATCGAATTGCTTTGATGAAAAGAATAGGACTTTTGATTTGTCTTCATGAAAGAAATTAGATATTTTTGTAATATCTACTTCGGGTCACGTAGAAGGAAGTAGAATTTAGTGCACAAATTCATTTTACGAAAAATTCGAAATTTTTATTGTATTTGTTTAAAACATAGTTTTTAGTTTTTTCTGGCAAAAATTTGGAGTTTTTCATAAAATAAATTTGTGCACAACAGAGCACAAGTCGAGAACAGCTTAGAACATGTTTCGTTTTTTTTATTTATTTAAAAAATAGTTTTTGATTTCCCCCCCCCCCCAGAATTTTGAGTTTTTAAAACATGAATTTGTGCACAACAGAGCACAAGTAGAAAATAGTTTAGCACAAAATTTGTTTTTATGAAATTTTTATTTTATTTGTTAAAAAAATGCTTTCAGTTGTTCAAAAAATGATTATTGGAACAAAAAAGTACAAATCACGCACAATTCAGTACAATATTTGTTTGAAAATTTGAACTTTACTTTATTAGCCACATTTTTTCCCTCTATCGTGTCTCTAATTCTCCTCTTTATACCCAACTTAATTTTTCATGAAAATGAATAAATAAGTAGGGTAAGGGGCCCCAAGGTGGCCACCCATCTTTTGAACGACTGCAATTCCTAAACGGTATTATATAACGTAATTAATAATATACGCCCTGAAACTTTATCTTCTTAGCAAACTTTTTAGCAACAAAATTTTTTTATATTACTAAGGAAAATAAAATTTAGGCAACTTTGGAAAAACAGCTGAAATTTTGCTTTTCAAAAAAGTGGCCCCAAGGTGGCCACAAATCAAAAATTCACTGAAAAATTAAAAAAGTAGTTGCAAAAAACAATTTAAGGTCATTTTATTTTTAAATGTAATTTAACAATATTTTAAAAAATATTTAAAAACAAATTGTTTTTTTTAAGTCACAATTAATTAAAAAAAAATTTGTTTGTTTACATATCGCTCTTATTTTGATAGTTGCAATGAATGTTAAGGATATAAATTGTTTAACATTATTATTTAACAATGTTATAAACAATTGTTAAAAACAAATTTTAAATTAACAACAAGTGAACATGTAAAAATTAGAGCTGTGCAAAATAATTCGAACCGAACTGTTCGAATTTTTTCGCCTAGTTCGAATGTCGAATATTCGACATTTCGGCGCCCCAAAACCGAACTAAACTCGGTTCGGTTCGAATTTTGCACAGCTGTAGTAAAAATTCTTTTTCTTCTTTTACTATTTTTTTCTATAGGATTAATGAATCTTAAAAGTTTAATTTACCTACTAATATTTTTCAATTAAGTTATAAACAATTGTTGTAAACAAATTACATTTTAACAACAATTCAATTAAAAAAAAGACTTTTTTTTTAATATCCTTTTTTCTATAGGGTTCATATATCTTGACATTTAAATTTAATTCTAAATATTTTTAACAAAGTTATAAACAATTCTTGAAAACAAATTATTTATTTACAATAACTGAAGGTAAAGTGCTGGTTTTGGCATTACTCTACATAGAAATGACATTGAAAAAGGATATTAAAAGAAAAAACTATTTTTTTATATTCAATTGTTGTTAAAATGTAATTTGTTTGCAACAATTGTTTATAACTTAATTGAAAAATATTAGTAGGTAAATTAAAGTTACAAGATTTATTATTCCTATAGAAAAAAATAGTGAAGGAAAAAATGAAATTTTCACATGTTTACTTGTTGTTAATTTTAAATTTGTTTATAACAATTGTTTATAACGTTAGTGAGTTGTTAGAAATATATCCTTCCATAGTTTGTTAATGTTTATAATATATATGATCTTGGGAAGGTAAGATTTTACTAAATAGATAAATTACACTTTAGTATTTTTTATAAAGGTCTAAAAGCACTATTTCTATAAGTTAACAATAATGATATACCTAAATTTTGTTAGAACATCAAACACATGCTAACACGTCAAAGATTACAAAGTTTCGTCAAAATATAATAAAAAATCGTCCCACACTGTCTTATAAGAATAAAATTTAAAATAGAGAAAAGACATTCTCGTAACAGCGATTCACTGTCAACTGAAAAGAAATTTATTCATCTTATAAAGTCAAACCAGTAAATACGTGAGAGAAGTCAATGAACCAAAATATAAACACATTCTTAGATGAGGTACAAGTTATATTGATTTTATTATTTTCTTTATGGACACGAGTCCATACGTCTAAGTAAAGGAAAGAATGTTTTGTTTAAGGTGAAGATATCTTCCTTTCTGTTGATAGTGGAACGATTTGTTTTTATATGAATCATTTCAGATTTATAACGTTGTTAAATAATTGTCGTCAATAATTTTCACCTTCAAGATTCTTTAAGAAAACAGTAAAAAAAAGTCGGTGGAAGAAGACACTATTTTTCAGCTTCAATTATTTTCAATTCTTAATTTGTTTATAAAATTGTTTATAACACTGTTAAATAATAATGTTAAACAATTTTTATCCTCAACATTCACCGCAACTATCAAGTTGTATATATTTTGTCGGACATTTTTGAGTCGCCATTTTGAATTTCAAAAAAATTCAAATTTGTAGCAATGCCTAAATGAAAGGTCATACGTTTTGGACGCGATATTTTGTCAGTCCTAATTTTTCCTGAAGCGATTTCCAATCAAAAATATAATTTTAATAAAACAAAAACCAAAAAAAATTTGTTTGTTTGTTTGTTTAAACAATCATAACTTTTAATCCATAAGTCAGAAGTTAAATTTTCTTTCAGATTCTGAAAGAGGAAGAAAAAATGCATAAGAAACACGATGTGTAAATTTTTTTTTAGCCCACCGAGGCGAGTTGTGCAATTCGAAATTCGAAACGCCGATTTTCGAATTGACTAGTTCGAAACGAATTATCTCCGATTCGAATTTTCTGTTGTCGAGTCGATTAATGTTCGGTTCGACTCGATTAAATGCACATCTCTATTTAATATGTGTTGAAACTCAGAAAATAAGCTTTCAAATATAACTTTTTCGAGCTTTATAACATGAATAATAAAACAAAAATTTTTGCAAAGCCTTTTACTTTAGTGACTTCAGAAAAAAATGTAATTATTCTCAGAAACGAAGAAAAAATACGCATGAGTAAATACTCATGAGTAGATTGGTAAGCAAGGGTTAAATACATTATTAATTGAATTTTTTAAATATTCGTCTTAAAATACTTAATATGTTTTTTACAATCTTTTTCTTTTTATATTTAACTTTTTTAAAACAAATGATAAAAATTTGCGGAATAGTGATTCATCAGTAATAAGAATAAAAAGTTTAAATTTTTTCTTAACAGAAAAAAGTTGTGGTTAGTGTTTCATATACAATCACAATTATCTGAAATATTTTAAACTGTTTTAAAAAAAATATGCTAAAAATTTGTTTCTTATAATCATTATTTATAAAAATTATAGGTATATTTTATAAATAAAGAAAAAAAATTTGGTTTTTTTGTTTCAAAAATGCACGTTAATATGGCCATGAAAAACCATATTCAAACCTATATTGAAAAAAATGTCATATTTAAAATTTGAAGAGAAAATAAATATCAAAATAAACTGCGTACTGTAAAACCTAAAAAATTTGATCCCCTCCCATTCAGAAAATATTTATCCAAATAGGTAAATATTTTCACCAAGAATTTCATACATTCTGTGAAACTATATTATTCATATAAATTCCTGTCTATCAAAATTTACGATAAAAATACGCGTGTCAAAGTAATTAATCCAAAATGTGCAAATTATCAGAAACTGGTTGGATATGTAAAGTTGTTGTAGAACAAACCTTTACTGCTGTTCTTATGTTGTCACCATCAGGTATGTCATCATTTGATGTGCCAAGCAGTATTTGTGCTTCTTCCATATAGTGGTTGCTTGGCATTTGAGTAAATAGACTAAAGAAACAGAAATATTAGGCAAATTTTTTTAAAAATTCAATTTACAAATATAAAAAATATTTCATTATAAAAATGCAACTAAAATAATTAAAAAATTGACATTTTTTGCCAAAAAACAATAAATTATAAAAGAGAGTGTTTTTTGGGCTAATAATTTGGGTGAAATATCACCTAAAGTCCCTGATTACAAATCCGATGTCAGTTTTTCAAAATTCAAAATGGCGGATGAATTTTTAAAAATTAAGCGGATTCACTTAAAACCTGTTACTTGGGAATTTTTGGGGTCACTGACTACAAATCCGATGTAAGTTTTTCAAAATTCATAGTGTCAGATTCTGTATGGCGAACGAATTTTTAATAAAATGTTGGTTTTTTTATGAAGTGATTGAAAAACATTTTATTTATTTATTTATTACTATCTTTAATATTCGTATGTACTTGTTCTGAAATTATTTTTTATATTACGCATTTTCTGTTCCCCTTATCATGAATGTAGACCAAATAGTAAGCAAAAGTAAGTAAACGAATAAAAATTTTAAGAAACCCAATAAAACAAAACAAAATGGGATCAAAGTTCTGTAATCCCCTTGTTGTTGATATCGGCAACTACAAATAAGTAGGCAAATTACAGTCCCTCGGAAACATGTTTTATAAAAATCAAACAAGTTTTTAAAATTCGTCCTCCATATTGGATTCGCCATTTAGAATTTTGAAAAACTGATTTCATATTCGTAATCAGCCACTTCGAAAATCCCCAAGTAGTCATTGAATTATTAAAATATCCGCCACATTGCATCCAAAATTTTGTCAAAGGATATTTAATTCCACTGATTGAAGCAAAATCTACAGTTGTAATTTGAAAAATATCTCTAATTGTTTCATTACAGCTTAAAAAGTACCTAAAAAGTATGAATGTCTTTTGAGGTAAGAAATGACTATTCTAAAAAATATTCTGATTCACTCTTAAAATTATTAGATACTCAGACAAATGTTCTATTACATTTATTTACAAATTTCATTAATTGTAAAATTATTCAAAAACATCAATAATTTATTTTTAAAATAAATATTTAATCATTATTAATTTATTATTATTTTCTGTAGGAATTAAAATTCTTCAAAACATTCAAATTCAACAACTTGTAATAATTTAAATTACCATAAAATTTTTTAAAAAAAGTTAATTATTTACAAAAATCCTAATAAAATTCCTTGCAAGAATTCAATTATTTTTACAAGTAGTAAAATTTCACAAAAAATTCAATTATTTTTAAAAAATGTAATAAAATTCGTTGCAATATTTCAATTATTTTCATAAATAATAAATCGATTATTCGGTAATTCATTTTTAAATCCATTTTTATTAGACACTTCTAGAAAAATTCAATTATTTAAATTAAAAAATAAATAATTTATTGAATTAGTAATTGAATGTTTGTTAAAATTGAATTCTCATAAAGAATTTCATCAACAAACTTTTAAATAATTGAAATCTTTTGACAAATATTAATAAAATTTGTTAGAATATTCGAGGAATTCGATTAAAATCGTATCAAAAATAATTAAAATCCTGTGATGAGTTTTATTATTTTTGAAAATATGTAATTAAAATTTTCTCAAGAATTTTATTAAAATTTTTCTAAAATAATTGAATTTCGGAGAAGAATTTTATTATTTATAAAGATACTTGAAATTTTGACAAGAATTTTATACAAGTTTATAAAAATAATTGAATTTCGGTGAAGAATTTTATTATTTATAAAAATAATTGAATTCTCGAAAAAAACTTTGTTAAATTTGTTTTAAATAATTGAATTCTTGCGACGAATTTCATAAAAATCTTTTTAAATATAATTGATATTTTTCGAAAAATTTTATGAAATTTTGTATTTTAAATAATTGAATTATTTCGAAGAAATTGATTAAAAATTTTGTAAATAATTGAATTCCTTTGAAATTTTGCAAAGAATTTTATTGAAATTTTTCAAAATAATTGAATTTTGATGAAGAATTTTATTATTATTTATAAAGATAACTGAAATTTTGACGAGAAATTTTTTTTAAATTTTTGAACATCATTGAAATTCTGCGAAGAATTTTTATAACTTTTGAAAATAATTGAATATCTGGAATAATTTGTAACTTTTCCAAAATTAAATTTTTTTTTTAGTATTTTTAACTAAAATTCTTCTATCAATCTAGTATTTATGAAAATTGTAAAAATTATTCATTAAATAATTTCTAAGTCATCATTTTATGATAGTTCTTGAAAAATTAAGTTATTTAAAAAGAAATTATTGTCAGAAATAGAAAAAATTGAAGGTTTTGTATTAAAATTCGTGGTAATTTCATAGTTTACGAGGCAAACCAAAAAAACATCAAAATTCAGAGTTTTCTCATGAATTTTAAAAATTCAATTTTTTCCAGTACTTTTACGAAAAATCCCTGACTTTTCCCTGAATTCCCTAACTTCCCTGATCTGTAATTCAATTTGTAAGTCGTAAAAAATGTTATGACATTTATAATTTATTTTATTTTACAGAGTTTCAATTGTTTGTTTAAAAATCTTTGTGTGCATGGGAAAAGATTTAATTATTATGTACAATTAAATACCTGTAAACTTTTTAGAGACAAATGATACAAAGAAAATAATTATTTATTTCTAAAGTATTTTAAATTTTCAGAGTTAAAAACATTTTTTAAAACTTAATTTAAATAACATATTTTTAATCAAACCATTTATGGAGGAAACACCGATATTTTTAACTTTATCAAAAAGAAAAAATAATTGAAATATTCCATAAAATTGTCATTATAGTAATTTTTCAGAAGAATTGCATGGTTATAAAAAAAATCGATCAGAAAATTTTTTAACCTTTTAGAATTTATTTTCTTAAAAATTTCAATCCAAAGAGAAATCGTCTTCAAAAAAAAATTTGAAGATGAAAAATTTATTAAAAATTATCTTAAAGAAAAATATATTATCGTCAAATTAAAGTCAAATTGATATCAAGTAGACGTTGAAAAATGATAAAAATGTGGGACAAATTTTTGTCAATTAGAGTATTCAATTTGATGATCAATTTGACATCAAAATAATGAGCCATTTCTCTTTGGGTGGTAGATTTTGCAATACATGTGTAATTTTGTAGAAAAATATATTCGTTTATCTATGCAGCAAAATTAATTTTTACTACTTTCTATGCATTTCAAAAAATAATCGTTTTTTAGGCTAAAAATGTTAAAAATCCCCATTTTTACTCAATTTTTTATTTGATAATATTTTCCTTTTATTTATAATATTAAAAAAAAACCCAAAATTTGTTTTTCTACTCATAAAATCAATATTGTATCACTGTTGCCGGCAACCTAACCTTCAATAATATGTTATTATTGAACTTGCTGACAGATAATAGAAAAGACTGCAAAATAATCTTACTCACTTGGATAACTTTTCATCTTCTTTAATTGATTTTAGATTGTCTAACTGCATCCATTCTTGTTCAATTATTCGACATTTTTGTTGTTGTTTTAAAATTAGAGCAACCCAAATAGGCACTCTTGTCGATAAACCAGCTCGAAATGGCCCAATTGGTCTGGATATTAAATTAAGAACACCACAATTAAAGTTTGGCACAATAGTAACTGTTTCTTCTTCACTCAAAAATTCAATTTCTGCAGTATCCATTTTGGCGCTAGAAAACATAAACAAATGGAATAAAGGTGCCAATACAACTCGTATTGGCAAACGCGGCAAAAGCAATACAAGCTCTTTGGGTGAGTCTCTAGTAAAAACCTAAAGGTTTGGTCACACCATTCTGCATCCAAGCTTATGGTGCGGTCACAGAGCACGGCTGCCTGCGCAATTACGTGCTGAGTTCGACGTAATGTTACAATTTCCGTAAAAAAAGAAAATCGAATATTGTAGAGAAATCGATTGTTTCTTCGATTATAGGCATGACAAATGCTAGTGAATTATAGTGACTTGTGTATTTTTTTAAATTTACTAAATTATGAAAGACGACACTAGACGTGACGTCACAAAAGCACCTTTAGGATCGTATTGGAGAAAGACCTTTATACCACATGTTGTGACCCTTCCTAACCTAATTGTATCTCTGTCCTGACATGTGGTTTATATCTGTGTTATGATAAATAATTTTAAATGATCGTTTTCTTTTTAAGAACAAAAAGAAAGTGTTGAAAACGGAATAAAAATGGAGAAAACAGTGGACGATTTAGGAGAAAATGGAGAACAAGTAACATGGCAAGATTTGGTAAGACAATATTAATTTATTAAATATTTTCAATATTTAGAAACACGTTTTTTTAAAGACAGAATGTTCATTTAAATAATAGATTTAAAGCAACAGATAATAATTAAATATTAATTTTTTTAAATATACTCTTGTATCAGCCAAGTTTATGAAAAAATTTTTTAAAATAAGAGAAATAGTTTGTCAGTCGTCAAAGACTTGTTTGTAAAATTATGTAAAATTACTTCTTGCACAGGAGTCAATTTAAATTTGCTTGAACAATATTAATATTTTTGCCATGTTTTGAAAATTTACCATTTTCAAAGTAATTATTATTATTTTTTTACCCTTTTACTAGCCGCACAGTGGTGACAAAATTTACTTTTTCGTTTCAAATCACTCTACAGGTCACAATTTTTTGCCTAAACGATTTTTCTTTTTTTCTAAATCTTCGTAATTAAATTCTCTTCATTAATTAAGAAAATTAATCGAATAACCTGTTAGAAATGAAATTGTTTAAACAAGTAATTGTTATTTTTTTTCATTCACTGTACTTAGGGCTAGAAATTTCTAGTCTTTTCTCAATTGTGAAATTTGTCATGAGTAAAACATTTACTACCTAATGATAAAAAATATAAAAATTAATTAATTAAACATGGTTTAAACAATTAGATATTATTTTTTTCATAAAATAATTTTTTTGTACTAAAAATATTCTAGAAAATATATAAAACATGATATGGTGTAGATTTTTCAAAATAATTTAATAAAAAAACTATGTTTGAATCTTAAAAATTAATTTTCTGTTAATAAGATTGTTTCAAATTTTTTGGGACCAAATTTGACACGTTAATGGGTTATACTTCATTCTTATTATTTATTTATAGGGGTTACCAGACTCTCTGTGTCAAGCATGTGTTGACCTGAAGTGGAAATATCCTACAAAAATTCAACGCGAAGCGGTTCCTGTTGCTATTGAAGGTACGAATAGCATTTAAAACTTTTATAAAATTATAATTTTAATTTCTTCATTAAAATAATTTCATGATTTTTTTTCTTTTAAGGGAAAGATGTGATAGGTTTGGCTGAAACTGGTTCTGGAAAGACTGCAGCTTTTGCACTTCCAATATTAAATGCTCTTTTACAAAATCCCCAAAGGTATTTTGCATTAATATTGGCTCCTACTCGAGAATTGGCATTTCAAATTTCTGAACAATTTGAAGCTTTAGGTAAAGTTTAAAAGCTCATTGCGAAATAACTGCAAATAATTTTATTTTGCTTTTATCATAATAATACTCTTTTAACATTGACTAAAAATTAAAATTTTCTTAAAAATAATAAATAGAAATAAGCCATAAATAAATAGAGATAAACACAAATATTTTTTTATGTTTTTGCTTTCATGAAGAAACTACTACCCTTGTCATTTGATTCTGTTTTGAAACCTCTATAGATTTTTTGATGTTAAACTCAACACTTAACCTCATCACTCATCTTACTCTAGTATTATTTTCTTCTTTAATTATTATTTTCTTTTATTAAAGGAGTGACGATTGGAGTAAAATGTGCTGTTATAGTAGGAGGAATGGATATGATTTCTCAAGCACTAACTTTAGCAAAAAAGCCTCACATCATTGTTGCTACACCAGGTCGACTAGTTGATCACTTAGAAAACACAAAAGGATTCAATTTACGTTCTCTCAAGTTTTTGGTATTTATTTTTATTTTATGTATTATTTCCAATTAGAGTTAAGTACACAGTGAGCCTGATAATTCCATCATATTTTCTGAATCCTTTCAAACAGAACAATATTTGAAATATTTATTCAGTAATAAGTGATTTATAAATATTAACATAAACCTCATTATTCAGGCTAAAATATAAAAAATTGATTATTATATGTAATTTTCCAATAATTCTGTCATTTTAGAAAATAATGATTATTTAAAATCTTTTAAGGTAATGGACGAAGCTGACAGAATATTAAACATGGATTTCGAAGTAGAAGTTGACAAAATTTTGAAAGTTATTCCCAAAGAAAGAAGAACGCTTCTATTTTCTGCAACAATGACGAAGAAAGTTGCTAAACTTCAAAGAGCTTCTTTGCAAAATCCCGTTAAAGTTGAAGTTTCTACTAAATATTACACAGTTGAAATGTTGCAACAATACTTTATTTTCATGCCGGTTAAGTTTAAGGTAAGTAATTTAATTATATCTAAAACAGCATCCTACACGAATTTGGAATTTTTATTTTTTTTACATTTTTTTTACATTTACAATCTAAATTTAAAATTTAACAAGGATAGTCTCAATATTTTTTTTATTTTGTATTCATTTTGCTTCATTTTCATACAAGAATTTTAAAATTTAGTACATTTGTTTGAAAGATATTAAATTTTGAGGAATAATAATAAAATAACATACTGTGAGGTATGTGGTCAACTTTTAGAAAATAAGAAGAAAAATTCTGCTTTTCATAATTGAACCCCTTGATGCAAGAACCAAACATAGACCATTGAAATTAAGTGGGCTGCGTCTGGTTCCTGCAGCAAGGGGTTCAATTATAACACTTTTCAATTCATTAAAAATTTTGTTAGAATAATTTTCAACAAATACTGCTAATACTGTTAAATTTGACTTATTTTATTATTTTTTAGGATCTGTATCTCATTCATCTTCTTAATGAATCAGCAGGAAATAGTTTTATGGTATTTTGTTCTACTTGCAATAATACACTAAGAACTGCACTTCTTCTTAAAAACCTGGGACTTACCGCTGTACCCTTACATGGTCAAATGTCTCAAAACAAAAGAATAGCTGCCTTGACAAAATTTAAATCGAAAAATAGATCAATTCTTGTTTCAACTGACGTTGCTAGCAGGTAACATATTGTCATTTAATTTATGTTTTTCTCCATGCTTTTACCCTTTGAATAACCGCAGTTGTTGAGTAAACGTTTATCACATGTTTATTCTGTGTTTAACTCTTTGAGGGTCAAATTTTTCGACTTTTCTTCCATATTTTGCAACAAAATAACACAATTTTTAGTAAAAAAGTGCAACCTATTTCGATTTTTAGAATACGAAAAATAACTATAAACAAATCTTTCAAAAATTATGTTTCAATCTTTTTTTAACATAATTCATTTTTTCAAATATATCTAATACTAAAAATCTTTTTAAATAATTGAAATTTTGTAAAATTTAATTGAAAATAATTAATTTTTTTCAAGTGTCTTATTAGAATTTTTGAAAATCAACTTTTGAAGAATTTTAATTGCAAATTTTTTAAATAATTGAATTATCAAAAATGTGAATGAAAAATCTTTAAATGTAAATTTAAAAATGAAAATTATTGAAAATTAGCTTCTAATTTTTTAAAATTCAATATTTTCAGTATTTTCAATTATAATACTAATTCAAATAAATACAAAAAATAACATTTTAGAATTATTTTTAACATTTTGGGAGAAAAAAATCATGTTCAAAATAAAGTTTAGTTGAAATCTGTAGAAAATAATTGAATTCAGGAAGGTTTATAATTGTAATTTTTAGAAATTATTAAAATTCATAAATTTTACTCATTTTTCGTAAACTTTCATATTTTCCTGTAACAAGAATTTTGTCAGGGGAAATAATTTTAAAGACAGTAAAATGTTAGGGAAATTGATAAACTAAAACTTGTGAACATCCTGAAATCGCTATTTTTGATTTTTAATCAAGCTTTTCAGAGAAAATTATTAAAGATTTTTACTTGGATTTTTATTTGTAGAATAATATTTGAAATAGGGAATTTAAATATTGTTTTAATATTGAGTTTTTAAAATCAAGAAAGTTATGCACAAGTTAACAAAAAATGTTCATTTTCCTTGAAAGCATCACTGATCCTCAAAGGGTTAAGAACACAATTAGATGTGTCTAATCTTTTAAAACTGCAAAATTCTCATTATGTACTCAGATTTGTTTTTATTATTAAACCTATATGCCAATAAATTACTTAAATTTTGTCGCTTCAGAACTTCTTAATAAAAAGTTTCTTCTTTCAGAGGTTTAGATATCCCGCATGTGGATATAGTTATTAATTTTGACATACCTACACACAGTAAGGACTACATACACAGAGTTGGCAGGACTGCACGAGCTGGGCGTGCAGGTCGTTCCATAACGTTCGTGACTCAATATGATGTGGAATTGTATCAAAGAATAGAACAGTTAATTTCGAAAAAACTTCCTTCCTATCCTGTTGAAGAAGATAAAGTAATGTCTCTCGAAGAAAGAGTAACAGAAGCATTGCGTATGGTCAAAACGGTAATAAATTTCAATAATAATAGAAACCTATATTAATAATCGTATTTAATTTAATTTAATTTAATTTAATGTTATAAATTTTGAAATGAATGAAATTCTAATATAAAGTTTGAAATATTTATTACATAGGTACTAACGAAAATTAATCAAATGAAATTGTTTTTAATAAGACTAATTATTTTATTTGTTAATTCTTATTTGTTAGTTTAAAAAAATAATTAATTAAAATTGCAACGGAATTAAAAATGATGTATTTAAATTTATTCTATGGATTTCAGAAACTGAAAGACCTTGATGACATTAAAAAATCTGGAAAAAGAAAGGGATCTCGAAAAGTTGATGAAGATGATGACACAGAAGAATCATTCGGAGTGAGAAAACGAATTAAATATAAGAAAGGAAATAATTTTAAAGGAAAAAGTAAAAACTAAATTGTTTTTAAAATATCAGATTGTTTAATATTTCACGATTTTTTTAAGACCGTAGTAAATATGTTCTGCATTGAACTTTTAATTTAAAGTCTACTAAAAAATTAATTGTAATAATTATAATTAATATTAAATTTCTTATAACAAAATATAAATAGAATTATCATTTATCAAAAATCTGAATTTCTATTTTAACGACTTAACAAGCACAACAATAACACCAAAATACAAAACATCACAACTTTCGTAAAAATGAACGTATCAAATCCAAAAACATATCCCATTTCAAAGGGGACCGGCAGAGCTACAACTACATATGCTTGACGTTTAAAAATAAACAACTTCTTTCTAAATACACTCCTTCAAATAAAGGGAGATTATAAAAAAAAGAGGCGAAAATGACAAAATTTAATAAAACTGTATAAATAAGAAAATTTTTTTCTCTTCTCTTATTATTCCATATTCTTACAAATATTGTAGAAATTGTAAAAAAATTAAAATTTCATCCCAAGAATATAAAAATTTTTAAAAGTTACCCTATATAAACAAAAATCTACAAAATGAACAAAAATCGCTTAAAATTCGTTGTTCGGGGGTTTTTGGGGTCGTTGATTAAAAATCCGGTGTTAGTTTTTTAAAATTTAAAATGGCGGATCTAATATCGCGGACAATTTTTTTTGAATCGATCCAACTTGCCTAAAATTATTATTACTTGGGGATTCTTGGGGTTAATAATTACGAATCCGGTGTTAGTTTTTCAAAATGGCGGATATAATATGTCAGACATAAGAAATTAAAAGTCATCTACATTCGCATAAAACTCAACTCATTATACTTTGTTTTTCGGGGTTGTTGATTACAAATCCGATGTCAGGTTTTCAAAATTTTAAATAATTAACCCTCTGCCTACGCTGACTTATCCCCACTCCAGCGCTTTTGAATGTAATTCCCATAGTCCCCACCAGGCGACCGAATTGTCGTTTTTTGTCGTTAACGGTCACTTGCGTAGGCAGAGGGTTAAAGAGCAGGATCATAAAACCGACTCTTTGCTTTGATACTATTCTGTTTTGTCTGACCCCAAAAACCAACGAAATATAAATTTCAGGCAAATTGGATCGATTTTTGAAAAAGTCGTCCGCCATATTGGATCCGCCATTTAAAATTTTAAAAAACTAATACCACATTTGTAATCAGTGACCTTGAATATCTTTGAGTAACAATTTTCAGGGAGTTGAATCAGTTTTTGAAAAAGTCGTCCCCATATTGGATCCGTCATTTAAAATTTTAAAAATTATGAAAACCTGATATCGGATTCCTAATCAGCGACCGTCGAGTAATAAGTTTCAGGCAAATTGGATCAATTTTTGAAAAAGTCCTCTGCTATATTGGATCCATTTCTAATTTATCAAATTTTGAAAATCTGACATCGGATTCGTAATCAGCGACCTCAAATACTCCCGATTACTCGAGGAATTTGGATTAATTTTCGAAAAAGTCGTCCGCCATATTGGATCCGCCATTTTGAAGTTTAAAAATCTTACTTCGGATTCGTAATCAGCGTAATTCATAATCAGTCCCATGTCGGCGTCAAAACGTCAAAGCGTTGAAGTGTCGGCGTTAAAGTATGTGAGTGAGCGAGACAGTGATATAAGGTTTTTGCTTTTTAATCTCATATATTTACGCTTTAACGCCGACGCTTTGACGTTTTACGCCAACATGGGACTGGCCCTTCAAGGGCCACTCAAATCATGAAGGTGCTTCTATACCTCCGGTGGATTGGTCAAGCAATCGGCTCGATGAATTTTCACGGTCGGAAAATGTACTTTCATGGCGGGTATTTTTGAATAAGTAAATGTTGAAAAGGTTTTTACTTGAAAATTTATTTAAAAAAATGATTTTATCATAGAAATTTTTTTGAAATTCATGTTAAAAAACATGTTTTATTTTAAAAGTTATCAAATTTTAATTCAAAATGTTTTAATTTTCCAAAGAAGTGTAAAAAGCCTAATGTTTTTGAAATGCTAGTACAGACGGTACAGACTGTTTGTTATGAATGTACATAACCTAGCGTTGTGTTGTCGTGCTTGTGATATTATATTCTAAATTTAATGATTTTATTATTATTATATTAAATAATAATGAACAGACAACACAACGCTAGGTTATGTACATTCATAACAAACAGTCTGTACCGTCTGTACTAGCATTTCAAAAACATTAGGCTTTTTACACTTCTTTGGAAAATTAAAACATTTTGAATTAAAATTTGATAACTTTTAAAATAAAACATGTTTTTTAACATAAATTTCAACAGAATTTCTATGATAAAATCATTTTTTTAAATAAATTTTCAAGTAAAAACCTTTTCAACATTTTCTTATTCAAAAATACCCGCCATGAAAGTACATTTTCCGACCGTGAAAATTCATCGAGCCGATTGCTTGACCAATCCACCGGAGGTATAGAAGCACCTTTAGTGCAAAAGAGATAGGAAGATATTGTTGTTCTTTTCACTCTCATGATTTTCTCTCGCCTGCTTTGTTTTGTACTTGAAAGCTATTGTAGAAGCACCTTTACAACCAGGTGAACGGTGTGAACGCGATTTCACCATTTTTTGATAAATTCTTTTTCTACAGATATAGTTGTAAATGCACCCTAAGGCCTATTCGCGAAACTATTGTGCGTAGGCTTAATATTGTTCTTGAAGTTATTGTCAGTTATTGTGCTTAGAGGTTAAGACCTTACCAAACGTTCAAGACTAGAATTTCTTTATATAAGAAAATAGAAAAGTGATTACATTTAAATAATGGAAACTGAAAACAAATATTCCTCTGTAGGTATTGATAATAAAATTTATTGTCAACTTGAAAACTTTTCAATTTTAGATGACTTAGTGTTGGAGAAAATTGTGTCTAATGATATTGAAAAAGGCAAGAAAGAATTGAATAGTTATCAATTTCCTTTAAATTTACGAAGAGGTAAGTTTATTTATTGATAATTATGCAATTTTAAACGACTTAATAAATGAATAATATCTTGTGGGTATCAAAACATAGTCTAAGAACGACACTAATTTAATGAAAATTCATGACATTTTCAGACATTTCGTTACGATTGCTAACTAGTGTTTTCATCTGGGCGAAGTTTATTTAAAATCCGGTCCTCCAAAATTAATTTTCGAGCTTCATTCCTATTATGGCCTTCTACTCGCTCATAGACCACATTGTCTACTTCTTGTATTATTGAGGTACCTAGTCCATGTATCCTTCCAACTCGATTGATCCGACGCATCTCCCGCGTAAAAGTGGGTCTATATGAGTCATAATCATCAATGTCATTGGGAAAATTTTGAAAAATATCATCTCATGCAGCAGTGTTCGTGAGATCGCGTCTTCATTCAGACGATCATCGTTATTGCAGTGAAGTTGTATGTCCCAAAGGTGGTTAAACCACAATTAGTGCGCCCACAAGTATACGCGAGTTTAAACCCGTACCTCGTAACTCCGAACCGCTAATCACTCCTGAAAGATTACACTACCGGTCAAAATTGAGAGAACACCCATTTTCAGGTCATTGAAAAACATTTTAACACATAAAATGTATGCAAACTAAAATTTTTTTATTTTTTGAAAGATGATAAAATTTTGAAAAGAACAAGATCTTTTAGAAGTCATTTGGCCAATATTTTATTTAGATATTTTTAAAAAATCATCACTTTCAATGTTTTACAAAAATTTGAATAACTTCTAAAATAATGAACGCTTTTTAATGATCTTAAGCTTATTTTAAAGGTTATTTGCTACACTATAAGAATTACTTATAGGCATTCACGTGTAATTTTTTTCTTACAAAATGCAGACCGTCAAACTTGGACCAAAAAAATTCAAAAAATTTGGAACAATTTTTTTGTACTAAAAACTATTCTAGAAATATATAAAACATCATATGGTGTACATTTTTCAAGAAAATTGAATAAAATAAAAAAGTTTGAATTAAAAAATTATTTTTCTGTTAATAAGATTGTTTCAAATTTTTTGAATTTTTTCGGTCCAGGTTAGACGACCTGCATTTTCTAAGAAAAAAATTACACGTTAATGCCTATAAGTTATTCGTATAGTGTAGCAAATGAAATTAAAATAAGCCTAAGATCATTAAAAAGCGTTCATTATTTTAGAAGTTATTCAAATTTTTGTAAAACATTGAAAGTGATGATTTTTTAAAAATATCTAATTAAAGTATTGGCTTCTGAAATATCTTGTTCTTTTCAAAATTTTATCAACTTTCAAAAAATGAACAGAAAAAAATGTTAGTTTCAATAAATTTTATGTTTTAAAACGTTTTTCATTCGCCTGAAAATGGGTGGTATTCTACGTCATAACATGCGTACTACCTAGAGCTAAAGAATAAAAAGCTTACAAACTCACTACACATAAACACACTTAGAGACCATTCTACAGTTCAGATATGGTCATGCCGCGAGGGTAGTGCACTACAGCACTAATTCAATGACGAGGCATTTGGCTTTTTTTAAACGCTAGCTCATCTACCCATATACAAAAATAATAAAATTAAGTTAGGGTACATGACTGGTCCCTGAAAGTATTACGCCTGTATGCAGGCGGTACCAAAAACCACCGACGGCCTCCTTTTTTGTCACCCGACTCCTCTGCGAATTCCAGGTCCGATCGCGGTGCTGACATTAAAGATGTTGAATGCTGCCAGTCCACCTATGAGAACCATGGAGGACATAGTTTTTAAGTCCTTTTGGACAAAATCCTAGCCGCTCAGAACCCGTGATGAGCAAGGGAACCAAACCCTTTCCAATGAATTGTGGCTGACGTAAAGGAGATGTTGTTCACCGGAATCCCGTACTCTCCAGACACAAACTTGGTAATCTCCGCATTACCTTGGTAATAACGGACCTTGTTGCTGTGAGCAGACCTTAAATCCATCTTCTCGCCAACAACCTGCGCATCTATGACTATCGCACCTTGATCTTTGGTTGTGACCAGATCAGGAGTCATCGCATATAGGTTAGTGTCATCCACAAAGGCAGAAGCGTTCGTAAACTTTTTTCCAACTCTAACCCCCACTTCCCTGAAAGACGAGCTAACAGTCCATGGTTTAGGAGATTAAAGATTAGTGGAGTCAAAGGATCAATCTGTTGGACACCCCGTTTGGGGTCAACCCTGCCCCTATATAATAGGGTAACCGTTATGATAAACACCCGCGACATAGCCTGTGTTAAAACACTTGACCAGTAGGTTTCCATGTCATTGATATCATCCCGCATCATCTTTCGTATATGTTGCTTAATACCGCCTCGGAACAAACATACCTTCGCGCATCTTTCGAATTCACATGGGAATCTCACGGGAACGAGGCTATCGTTAATAGTTGGGGGTGATGAATCAGTGGATCCACCACAATTGTCTTCCTAACTTTAATTATAGTGCTATGTTGGAGCAGAAGCCCAGCAAAGTACTTCACCGACTCACTTTTCCCCTAAACAAGAGCTTGGGCGCCTAGCAAACCTCCGCTAGGTGGAGTACGGCAATACAAAATGAATTTGCAAATCCATAAGGCACGTAATCACCCAAGTACCAGCTCAGCACAAAGCGGGGTCACTACTCCCCGACGGGTATAAGAGAGTCACAGTTACTCCCGCCGTTTACTAGCGTTTGCGGGTAAAATCTTCACGTTGACATTCTGTGAACTTTCGCAGCATCCACCTCGGTTTTAGTGAAGATGAAACTGGACGCGTCCATTTTTCACCAGGGATAATAAGAACCACAGGTCGAAGAGGCTCAACAATAGCGTTTCCTATTGCCTTTCTCTTTGCGGCGCGTTACAATTGTGAACTGCCTCTCACGGGTGAGCACCGCTGTCAGCTTCTCCAACGCCACCGCGGAAGCATCAGTGGCGGTACGTGCCACACCCTCCGTGTGTTTTGCGTTTTTAGAAGTATTTTAAGAAAAAAAATTCAAAAACAGGGCTTTATCACTGGACTGTATTAAAAGATTTAAACTGTTTTTGGTATTTATGATTAGGATTATTTATTTCTATTCTTATTTTGACGCAAAATATATTTTAATAATAAATAATATCCTAATATTACACTTGTTATAAATTATAAGAGGAAATATCTTTAGAAATAATAGGAGGCTGATTTTTTAAGCATGTTATTTTTGACCAAAAAAAAGTGGTATGCACGTTGAGAAACCCATAGTAATTTATCTTGAATGAAAACAAAATGAATAATGACGTCAGAATCTAATTGTTTACTTATTTATTTTGATGGCCTTAGCCTGAAGAAAAAAATTACTACATTAAAGAGTAACTTTAAAAAGAGAACAAAAAGATAATATTTTATTTTGTTCAAGAAAAATTAATCGGATTCTTCATCTTTGCAACTTTTACAGGTGAAGAAAATGTAAAATACTTGAAAATTGTAGACTCAAAGTGAATTTTAATGACAATACTTCTTTCACACCGTGCGCGTCTGAACCTGCGTACCACAGCGTGTCTCAACCTGCAGACTACGCTGTTATTTTCTTAAAACTTTGAAATTATTTGTAGTTAACGTATGTCTAAAATTCCATCGGAATATTAAAGTAGAACAAAAATTGATATGTAATAGGGTGACCGTTATTTTGCTAAAGTTTGAATTCCTTAGGTCGCCGGGCTGAATTTGCTTTAGAATGTGACATTAATGAGCTATGCACAAAACAGCATCGATCAATATTAACCCTGGCCACAGAAGGGTTAAATGGTGTTTCACATAGGATCAGTGCACTTTTTTACATTTTGTAAGATACAATGCTTTGCTTATTTCAACATTTTATTGTTTCGTCATTTCTGTTTCAAGTTCTTTTGATTTTTGTGATTTACTTGAAAGAATGTTTTCCGCATATTTCACAAGTCTTCAAATTACGATAGTAAATTCGTATGAAATTTTAAACCTTTAGCTACTTTATACGTTTAGGTAAACGTGATCAAAAATATGTAAAATTTACTGCTTACTTTATTTTAATTTATTAATACAGTATTTGCAAATTCTTATATTGTTAAATTTTTGTAGATTACTGTAAATATGGTACTACTTTGAAATGCAAGATTCGCACGAATTAACAACAATAAGATTATGTCTTTATTACAGGTCATCTTCTAAAGTCAAAAGTGAATTTTATTTCATCACCTTCTGATTCTTTGCTGTCGAAGAGAAATCTTAATATTAAGGTAAATAGTTCAAATTCAGTTGAAAAATGTATTTATTTATTATAGAAATAATCCGCTCTGAAAGATGTTCGGGATATAATGTTAAAAAATATGATTGATAATACACTGTCCGTGAATGCAAATATTCAAAAAAATGATTGAATTGGCTTAGAAATTGTTACTCGAGGTTTTTGAGGTCGCTGATTACGAATATGATGTCAAAATAAAAAAATCTGATGTCAAATTCGTAATCAGCGACCCCGAAAATCTCCAAATAACAAGTTTCAGAAAAATTGAATCGATTTTAAAAAAAGTTATTAACCATATTGGATCCGCCATTTTGAATTTTGAAAATCTGACATCATATTCACGTCGGATTTGTCCGGTAGAAATTTTCAAAATCTGCCAAAAACATGCTTTTTGGGACTTTTACCCCCATTTTTCTCAAAACCCTGACGTGATGGGAGGTTTTCGTGGCCAGATTTGGATTCAAGACACGGACGGGAGCAGAACTAATACGTTTACATAAATTATTATTTGTAATAAAATTTAAAATCGGCTCAAAATTTCTGAAGCGTGACACTAATTTCTCGATAAAGATATTTTTATATTTCATATCAATAATTTTATATTATTTTCGTACCAAAATATGACCCCAAAGTTGTTTTTGCAAAATTTAAATTTTTTAAGAGTTATTAATTAAACAATTTTTAAGCATCAAATTATTAAAACATTTTTTTCTACCGTTCTATTTGATGGATTTTAATAAAATTTGAAATGAGTAATATTCAATAACCCTGCTTTCGAACAAAAAATATTTGTTAAATTTTGTTCAACATTTGTTTAAAATAGTAACAATTATTATAAACAAATAGAAATAAAATAAACTTCTCCGCCTAATTTCGTATTATTTTATTTCTATTCGTTTATAATAATTGTTGCTATTTTAAACAAATTATGAACAAAATTTAACAAATATTTTTTGTTTGAAAGCAGGGTTATTGTATATATCTCATTTTATTAAAATCCATCAAATAAAATGGTAGAATTTTTTTTTATAATTTAATGCTTAAAAATTGTTTAAACAATAACTCTTAAAAAAATTAAAATTTTGGAAAAACAATTTTGGGGTAATATTTTGGTACAAAAATACTATAAAATTATTGATATGAAATATAAAAATATCTCCATCAAAAAATTAGTTGCACGCTTCAGAAATTTTGAGCCAATCACAAAATGTCTTGAATTTTCACTTATAATGCAGTTCAATTTAAAAGCAAAAGAAATCAATATAAATATGAATAAAATAATAAAATTTATTGTTTTAGACAAGTCAACATGACAATGGAATATCTTCATTGCAAAAGCTTAAGAATTACTATTTCAAACAAATAGTTCTCTTAAAATTGTGTGTTGGAGAAATGCCAATAAATCTAAACACCACTACCATGAGTGCAATTTGTTCTGAAACTGAAGAAACCATCCAATTCAAATTCAATTACATAGAAAAAAAATCTACTAAATGTATTAAAAAATTTATAAGCTGCATGCATTGTGAAAAATATAAATACTGTAACTATGAATGTAAAAATAATGTTAGGATGTTAAATAATAGTCGATTTAATTTTTATAAAATGTCAAAAAAATGTTTAATGTGAATGTGTAAAATCTTTTATTGACAAAATCTGTTGTTGTAGATTACAATACTAAAAAAGTTAAATGTTTAATTATAATACATGCTTTACAATTATTGTATTGTGATTTGTTTTATACTAAAATGTTTCATCAGGGTACCGAGTTTTATAAAATTTCCCGATCAAATTTTTATCAACAATTAAACACTATTATGAACGAAAAAACATAAAGACAAACAAAGACGTTTAAATTAAATTCTTTTCAATTCTATTATTTTGTATAGACTGCCAATAACCTACATTGTTGCTGGGATGTTTCTGAACAAACATCCTGACGGACAGAAAATTTTATTTTAACTTTTAAGCGCTTTTAAGTGGTAGCAGCCACAGCAATATTATTACAGTCGGGTCCCCATACTGTTACATTTTCAGAAATTTCCCACTTCTCCAGACTCAGCTCTGTTATGTGCTCAAATTATGCTTACTGCGCACCTTTCAGGAACGTAAATATATACACCTCAAGTTTGGCCTAGAAGTATATGCACCCTTTTCCTTTGTCTTAAGAATACGGCCCTGAAAATTAGTGACGTAACGTGACGTCACCTAACACTTCTGAACTTGGAGGTTATGCAAAAACATAACACTACTGAGGACATAACAGTTTGGAATCTAACAGTATAGGGACCCGACTGTAATTGTTCCTAAGCTATTACTAGAAAAATTCCAATTAATATCTTGGTCTTTAAAATTAATTTAATTCACAATTAATAAAAAGTAACCTTAGCCGATAATTAGCAGAAGAGGAAAAATTATTTTTTTAACGAAGCTATCTTTGTTTTTTAACAATTGGTTTAAAAATGATTTATTGGTCCTTAGCTATTACTGGAACAATTCCAATTAATATCTGGGTCTTCAAAATTAATTTAATTCCCAATTCATAAAAAGTAACCACAGCCGATAATAATCAGGAAAAGATGAAAAATTAATTTTTATCGAAATTTACCTTTTGTTTATTAACAATTGGTTAAAATAATTATTTATTGGTCCTAAGCTACTACTGGAACAATTCCAATTAATATCTGGGTCTTCAAAATCAATTTAGTTCCCACTTGATAAAAAGTAACCTCAGCCGATAATCATCAGGAGATACAAAATTATTTTTTGATCCAACTTTATCTTTTGTTTATTAACAACTTGTTAATAAAAAAATTATTTATTTGTCCTTAGCTATAACGAGAACAATTTCAATTAATATCTAGGTCATCAAAATTAATTTAATTCACAATTCATAAAAAGTAACCACAGCCGATAATCAGCAAAAGATGAAAAATTATTTTTGATCCAACTTTATCTTTTGTTAATTAACAAATTGTTAATAAAAAAATTATTTATTTGTCCTTAGCTATTACGAGAACAATTTTAATTAATATCTGGGTTTTCAAAATTAATTCAATTCACAATTAATAAAAAGTAACCATAGTTGATAATCAGCAGAAGATGAAAAATTAATTTTTGATCCAACTTTATCTTTTGCTTATTAACAATTGGTTTAAAAAAATGATTTATTGTCCCTAAGCTATTATTGGAACAATTCCAATTATTATATCAGTCTTCAAAATTGATTTAATTCACAATTAATAAAAAGTATCCACAGTCGGTAATCAGCAGGAGATGGAAATTAATTTTTTTATCGAAGGTTATCTTCAGTTTATTAGCAATTGTTAATAAATTATATTGTAACTTTTTAGCGCTTTTAAGTTGTAGCAGCCACATCCGTCTCTTCCTCGTTATCGTAGCAATAACACCGATGTATGGTGTATCCGAGGGACAACTCTTGAACTCGGATAAGAGCTAGCCTGCCGGAAAGTTCTTATTTTATTATTACCATCGTGATCCGGGTAGTTCACCTACCTGGCGCCGTGGAAGTTACCTAAAGCGGATCATCGCTGATACTTTACGAGAACGAATTGTAGGACTCGTACATCGGTATTTGTTACCATTTTTGTAACGTTTCGGTGACAAGAACCACCAAGAAAAAGGAAACATCGTTACAGTATAAAAAATTATTTCCGTTATAGGGTAACATATAACATGTTTTTATAGCAAAATAATAAACTCAATACTTTGAAAGCAGAACTTTTTTGCTAGTGAAATATTGGTCACAATAGATTTTGCTAAAAATTATAAATATGTGGTTCAAGACGCAACGAAAGGTTTCCACTACAACAACGAGCAGTGTGTTGTTTATTACTTCCTGGAAGGTTATTAAATTAAGCACAAAATCTTAGTGTTTATGTCAGACAGCACTACTCACGATGCAGCAGCTGTTTGCTTTGTTCAAACACTGTTGTTACCTGAAATAAAAAACGTGTAAATGTGAAAAAGATTTTTTACTCCAACGATGGTTTAAAACAGCACTTCAAAGATCGATTCCAAATGTGTAACCTAGTGAATCACGAAAAAGACTTTGATGTTAGGCTGATTGGCATTTTCATTCTACAGCGCATGGGAATGGCACTTGTGATGGTGCAGAATCTGATCTTAAAAGAGAAACTGTACGGGAAAGTCTATTTTTACCTAAACTGACAGAAGCTATTCTAATTCGTACTTTAGTTGTTTGACGAATATAGTGAATCGTTTCACTGGTTAAATTTAAATTTAATTGAAAACTAACAATTTAATTATTAGTTATTTAATTTAATTTGAATTTAAGTTTGAAACTACGTTTGTTATTTTCTTCAGTAAAGTAGAGCATAGTAGAAAAAGAGGTTTTTAAATTCTAGATTTAAAAATTCTCCAGCCATTCCCTAAATACAGAAAAGTCAATTTTTTGTAATAATTTTACAAGCGAAATTAGTTATAAAGCGATACTCAAAATGACTATAAAGAACATAGATTTTCGAAATAAATAAAAGTAATTTGAACCGTTGAATCGATTTACCATGTTCGTCAAAAAATTCCAAACATAAAAAATGGAAAACCAACAGCAATCACATCGCAAATGTCTCAAAAAGTTTAAGACAAGGGGACCTATTCAAAAAGGACCCAAAATGTGAGAGGCTAGGCCCGGTAAGAAGCAAAGAATTGAAAAGAATTCAAAAGTTGTATTCTTCTTAATAGGTGAATTTACCTTGGAGCTCTATTCCACAGAAACGACCAAAATTTCAGAAAAGTCTATTATTCTGAATTGACTTCACAAAAATATGAAACGCGCATTCAAAAGAATGAGAAAGTACAGCAAATCAGTAGAAATTTCTCTTCCTCTGAATTAACTCACTGCCACTCAAGATTCCACTAGAAAGTGAGGTTAGGTTTCAAAACTTGACTTAAACATTTAACACTTGAAAATTTCTTTCAATAAGAGCATTTTATATTTTATCGTAAGCACGTTGCGTCTTTTATAACCATATTTTCAGTAGTTTTAATATTTAATTTTAATAGTTTAGCTGTTTAGCACTGACATTACAATGAAATTCACACGACGCGAAACATAGCTGTCACTGCGTTTTATTTTAAGACAATAACTACAGGAGCTCTTACAGGCAATTAGAAAAATTAGGTTTTTTTCAAATTGTTTGTCAAAAGTTCTATTCCTTCTAATGCGCTTCTGAATTTCGATGCAGTCAATTGAGAATATAATAAACATTTCAGATTTACTCGTCGAACATTCTAATCTTTTGAATTGACTACCTAGAATCGTTAGCAGTCAATTCAAAAGAATAGAACTTCATATTTTTTTCAAGAACTTGTAATACCATAAAACTTTGCGTATTAGGAAAAATAGAAAATTTGAATTCTTTTCTATCTTCCGATCGACGAGAGCAATAGAGAAGAATTGATTTTTCTGAAATTTTGATGGTTCCCGTGGAATAGAACTCCGAGGTAAATTCGCGTATTCAGAATAATTCAAAATTCTCGTTTTCAAGCATATTTTCTAGACTTTTTTTATTTTACGCTTCTTACCGGGCGGAATTCTTACAAAAGCCTCCCCAAGGAGTGGGAGGCGAGGGGAGTCAACCGCAAAGCATTCTGATTTTAAAAAAGTTTCATATTACTTGAAATTTAAATTTTTTCATTTCATTTTCATAATAAGCAACTAAAAATTATAGTACATCTCGGTGGTGAGACTCCGTTGATACAGTTTCCCTCTCCTCTGTCGGGAAAACCATTACACGGGTGTTCCAGGCAAATGCGATTACATCTAATTTTCAAGTCGTTCTGTAGGCGCAAAATTTTGAAGAATGTTGTAGTTAGATATTGTAAAGAAAAATATTATGTAGAAATTTTCTGAAAACTAAATTGACTGGAAGAAAATATACTTATTTGTATCATAAGTAACAAAAATATTATTTTATTAAATATATTTTACAACAGTAACTTTTGTCATTCGTCGAATTAATTTATAAGAAAACAAACCATTTTGAATCAATTTGATATATAAAATGTCTGTTCATATTTATAACTATAGACTCAGTTTTTTTCATTTTTCAATCTTAAGATGTGATGGTCGTAATATGAGTTTCAACGCAATGACTATACTACATACAAAATTATTTACATCACTCCTCTAATACATTTTTACTATTACGTTAGTTTCGTTAGTATTTGCCCTATGTTTAATTGTTTCTTGAATTTTCTGTATTTGTTCTCGTTCTTATAACAATTACTCATAAAATATAGCACCATAGGTCAATATGACAATTAAATGAATCATTTGAGATAATATATTTTTTCCATTTTATTTAATTATATTTTATTAAAACCATTTTTATGCAGTTAATAAAAATAGATAAAAAAATGTATAAATCAATTATAGATTAACAGCTCAAACATATGAATATTTAAAAGTTATTTTTTTCTATAGGCTTTAAGGTAATTAGAAAATATATTATTATAATAAATATTAATTAACTTTTTAAACACAATTATTGTTAATGGATTTAATAAGCAATAATTAAATACTTACAAAGTATATAGTATAAGCATCAATATTTAAATCATATTCTATATAATTATTTTGAATTTACATAAATATAAACAAAATGAATCAAATCCTAATAATTTGAACCATTTTCCGAATAAATTCCACCTATACATTTATTTTCTAAACCTTTTTGAGAAATAGTTTGATCCAAGGCGAACAAAATATATAATTTACAATAAAAAAATATTTCTACTTAATTAATAACAAACTCGTCAAGTAACAAACCATTTCTCAAAATATAATTAATTAAAGCAGGAGATATACTTTTAATTTGTCAATAAACCTTCTATACTATGCATGTTGGGGTATTAATTTGAAATACTTATTTTTTTATGTTTTTCATCATGTTAGCAAAGTGCAAGAGGCACGCTAATCCAATACTACGTTAAGCTAGATCATCCAATAATATTTTTATGAGTTTTTTAAATATCTTTTTTTAAATAGCATAAGAATTTACTAATGCTTATAACAAACACTTGCAAATGAATTAATGAACTTCACTATAAAATTCATGATAACCTCATAGTGAGCTTTAAACATCGGCCTCACTATAAGCTTGCATTTAAAGTTCACTGTAGTCTTATACAATAAGTTCTCTCAATAAGTTTTCAATACTCATTATAAAATTAATAAAAGATTACTATAAAATATCTTCATTTTTTATCTCTTATAAATCTCTATGAAAAATTGTAGTGATCATGAAATGAATATAAATATTTATGGTCCGATTTTGAAGTAGTTTTAATTAAAATTGTATATATTACAGTAAGCTTTTATTAACTTAACAGTAATATTACTGTAAGTATACATTCGACATAGAGTATAAGTTTACAGCTTGATTTCGATGTACAATGTGTAAAGTAAATTTACTGTATAAGTTTTACTTTTCGTATTATGCGTATTGATAATTCTCTACATCTGAATGAGTTAAAATTGACGATTTTTAAAAATATTATTTCTTTTATAATTTTTTATTAGGGAGGTAAAATGTTAAGGTACCGTCCCATGACGGCGTTAAAGCGTCGGCGTAAAGCAGAAATCGTGCGATAGAAAGAGATGAACAGATATCACGTTCTCACTCTCTCACATGGTTTACGCTTCACGCCGACGCTTTCACGCCATCATGGGACGGTACCTTTACTTTATTTTGTAATAAGACAACAGACGACGTGTATAAAGCCAGTTCAACCCATAGATCCTAGCATCTGAGATTTTTATTGCAGAATGTGAACTCTGGACTATAACTATTTTGCAAGTAAAATAAAATGAAAAAATTTTAGCAAATCGTTTTTTCAAATCTTTTTTTTTGTTCTTCTTAGAAATTAGAAATGGTACAAAAATACTTTAAATTAAAACAGTTTTTCCTTTAAAAGATTTCTTAATTTCATACCTTTGGTTTAAATAGTTTTTTCCAAAATGAAAATTTTGAATTTAAAATTAAATTATTGTTATTTTGAAAATGAGCAAATCACTGGTCCGACTACCATTGTATTAAGGATTTTCGAATCTACCCTGTAATAATATATAACATTAAGTATGAAAATTTTAACTTATTCAGAAGAGAAAAATTATTAATGTAAATTAAAATGTTCAGTGATTAATCAATTCAGAACATATTTAGTAAAAAAATAATTAATTATGCATTTTAGTGACAGTTAAATAATAATAATAATCCGCAGATTTTTGTAATTTGTGTAATTCATTATAATCTAGTCTGATATGAATCAGATGAATGAGATTCTATGTCATAGGTAAAAGTTTTAAATGAGTATCTGTCTGTAATTTACAGACTAAATTATATTGATTATTACAAAAAGTACAATCGATAACTAAAAATTATTTATTTCTCAAATTGTAACGTGTGGTACCTAGTAGTAGAAAAATAATAGAAAAGAGTTGATATTATGATATTGAAAACTGCGCAGTTGTAAATGCTGATCCTAAATGTCGACAAACATTTTTTGTTCATTTAAAAAAAAAATTATTTTGATCATTTAAATACTGGTATAAGTAGATGTACATGAACACGTAGAAGTATCTTATACTAAAAATTTTGCGTACATGATTATTTACGGTTTCATCTATACTTTGACTGATTCAATTTTCTTTGTTCATCGCTTGTCGATTAAATGCAGGAACTGGTGAAAAACAAGTTCATGACAATAAATGTATGTACTTGATGATGAGCTTGTAAAAGAATCTTCACAAGTGAAGAGTTAAAAAAATATAAAATAATTTTTAAACAGAATACAACATATGTGCTAATTGAAATTCTGCTGAATTTATTACTTTTATAGACAAAATAAATGCAAAAAATAAATATTTATTACGATTGAAATTAAAGTTCGAGGTAAAAAATAAAGAAAATTACTCGAATAGCTTGTATAATTAACAACTCTGTGAGCACTGGGACATGGAATGTCTTTATGACCTTTATGTTCGTTCGAAAGAAACCCAAAAGAGATCCTATGTCCCAAGGATGTCTCTATGAAATAAGATTTCTTTTAGACTTCTTTTGAACCGATATAGACATCTTAAGGATGCCATAAAGTTATCCCATGTCACACTGCCGATGGAGAACTTCTACTTAATAAAAAATTCGTCTATTAAAATAAATTAAATGCATTGGACAACAAGGTTAGAATATAAATAATACTTTGACAACTGTTTTAGATAAAAAATTAATTCTTTTCTACTTTAACCTTTATCATCGGTACCATTGAATCACAAAATTATTTTGTAATTTAAAATTATAAAAAAGGACCTGAAAATAAAATAAAAAAAAGGTCTAGTCTGTCTAGTTAACTTTAAATTGATAAGTCATATATTAGAGTATTTTTCTACTTAGAATAACGGCAATTTAAAACTAATTGTTTAAGGAATTGATATAAAATAGTTCCGTAAACGGTTTACAAATTTTTAGTGTATCAATTATTTAAATATTATTGAACTACAGATTTCTAGAGGCCATTATGCATCTATTTTCAATAAAAAAGATATAAATTTAAAAAAAAATTTCATGTGCACGTTGCACCTTATTCTATATAAGCATTTTATAAATCATTGAGGTGGGAGTCATTAACTAAACATAATTTTTCCGAATTCTATAATATGTAAAATTTTGAAGTTAAGTGAAGTTAAATTAAGTGATGTTATGAATGGCATTATCGATATATGTTGTAATTGTTAAGTTCTCTTCGACCGTTATTATATTTATTGGTTTATTGCGAACTTATTGAGATCAGTTATAGGAAGACTCAATAGGAAGTGGTGGTGTGATTGGAGGTAAGTGATCACCACAAGTTGGGAAGTTTGGTGGAACTGGAGGTAAATCTGCATGCGTTCCAACATGCAGAATTAAATTCATACCAATGACGATGTGGAAGAGAAAATGGCAATGGAAAAGCCAATATCCTGCAAGAATAATAAAAAGTACGTTAATTTTTATACATTTCATTAAAAATAATTTAACAAGCAAATATATTTAAAAAATTTAAATTAAAATAATATTAGCTTAAATAGAAGTTTTGAAAATAACTTTATAGAAAATATATAAAGCATACAAAATTCCGATTATCATCTATATATATTTCTGAGTGTCTCTCAGATATATGATTATCTTAACGTACTTGAAGATCAAAGATAGATCTTTTTCCTGACTCTCGTGTGGTATTACCTGTTAATATAATGAACGTTCTATTTAATACAATCTGTATTTAAAAAATATAATTACCTGGATTATCTGCTCTAAATCTAAACACAACGTATCCGTTATTTGGAACTGCTATAGTGTCCTTTGCCGGAGGTAAATTGAATTCACGATGTAGAAGACCTCGTCTGTCAAGATCAAGGGCATGCTTCAAATTGATTTTCTTAACATTTCTATCTGGTGAACGACCCATTCCAATTACATTGAAAGCATAACCATGCAAATGGAAAGGATGAGACAAATTTGGCTGTTGAACTGTAATATTTAAATGTGTTATATTAATTTAAATGAAGAAGTGTACAAATTTATAAATCAAACTATTTAGAGGTCAATTAAAGGCCGAAAATAAAAAATCTGATGTTTAAACATTTATGTTCCTAATGTACACATTATGTTTAACCATTGTCTTATCAATAATAAAATTAAATATATTATACAAATTACAAACCTTCATCTACAAGAACAACTTCAACAATTGCATTGTATGGGATATCAACTTTATGTGTGCACATGCAGTTAGCTCCACAGTCAGCTGGTCTATTGTCTCCATTACAAAACTGTTCTGGTGGAATATCGTCAATTTGAGAAATTGGTGGAGCTGGTGGGAAAGTAAATGAAATCTCATCTACAAGAGATATGACATGATCGCCTGATGGAGCAACTGAAATGAAAAACAAAAATATTTAAAACTTCTGTAGTAATTACAATAAATGTTTATGCCTATAAGGACTTTTAGTGTTGTTGATCAGAAACATGACTACAGAAATTTAATATCAATAACCAAGAATATTCTATAATTCTCTTTAATTAACAAAGTGCTTTGAAGTCTTTTTGTAGTCACAAACTCCAACTATGCACAAAATTAGTTTATCTCTGAAATAGAGATAGAAATTTTTAAGTACTATTATAAAACATAAATTCCCTTCGTCTTATATTCTTGAACACTATCAAAAATAGTAAGTATGTTCATTTTGTAGCATAAAACACATGAGAAAGATGAAATAAAATTACATACCTAAGTATCGGTTGTATGTATTAGGTTGGAAGACTTCTTCTGGTCTGTAAAACAGAAAACGGAAAGGCAAGAATATTTTAACATCTGGTCGAGCTTGAAGAATTCCTTTATCAATATGATGTGCATTTTTCAGTTGATTAATGCAAATCGCATCTTCTCGTGGTTGGTTACAAATAGCATCCAATGGATTGAGAACCTGTAATAAAATTTCAGCTTATTACTAAAATGAAATTTAAAATGATGCTTGAAAATATGAATTGAAACATGATATTTTTGTTTTTATTGTCAATGCTATGTAATAAATGAATAATTGCAGTTTTTCAAATTAATACTGTCACCACAGAAAATGTGGGTTTGAATAGTTTCCAAGAAAGGCTTATAACTGCTCAAAAGGAAGAAAATGAATCCAATATTAATGTAGAAAGTCTACTATATGGTGCAGGCTTAGCAGATTAAGCTTAAGTGCACGTTTATAAGTTTTTACTTTTCGAAACTTTAAACGCATTTTTCTCGAAATTTCGTTTGAAGATAAAAATCATCTAATGTCTCTTACGTTAATTATATTTACAGTAGGACCTTTCAATAGTGCAGTCGTCGGGAATATTGTGCACTGTTCGAAGCAAGCAAAAACTAAAATATTCAGGTCCGTGTCAAGAAAATTAAGGGTCCCCCACTACTAAATACCGGGCACCACTAAATTATACTAAATAATCAAATGAGCGACGGCACTGTATTTGACATCACAGATTCCCTTTCCCTTTACCCCCCGAAACCCCTTGTCTACTCAACTCACTAATGACTGCACTGTTCAGAACTGCACTATTGAAAGATCCTACTGTAATATTTTATGGTCTCTGTCATTTTTTTGTTATGCAAGACCTACAGATTTCATCGAACAAGTATTCTCTAAACAAAGTAGGATAAATAAAAAATAAATTAAACAATTCAGCAGAGAATAAAATGAATTGTTTCTTTTATTGAAATACTTACAATGCCTTGAGGTAGACCTAAATCGTAGGTTGGAGGTTGTCCTGATGGTTGATACGGACCTCTTGCGTATCTTAAAATTCCTAACTGTTGTGCTCTTTTAATTCCACACTCTCCAAGTCCACGAAGCTGAATCCAGTAAGCTCCAGCTGGTTGGTCAGCACTAACAATGAAATCGTACCGTTCACCTAAGTAAAGAGAAATATGAGTATATAAATAATTTAAAATATTAGAATATCATTGACAATATATTGACAATAAAGATTAATTAGCTTTATCACAGAAAATTTTAAAATAAATTCTTCTGTGATTAAAAACATTAAAATATTAGAATATTTAGTAATGACATTTATGAGCCATTACTTTCTGCCTCGTCCCGGCCGAAAAACATTTTGCCAGATAATACGAATGAACCCTAGGTGTAAATTTTCATATTAATATTAGGACCATCAGCGGATATCACAGTATAAATTCAGTGCAAACTGTTCTGCGGAAAATTGGTAGCAGAAAGTTTATTATTGGTTTAGATGCGAATGCTGTATCACCTTTGTGATGCAGCAATACTGAATATGCTGATACCAGAAGAGAACAGTTGGAGGCATTCACCTCGAAACGGGATTTTTATGCGGTAGGTGGCTCCGGAAACCTCTGTACATATAAAGGGTGTAGTAGGAATATCGACTTAGCTTTAGTTGATTCCTATTTTATTAACAAAACACATAAAAACCACTATGATTGATGATATCGAATCCAGCAATCATAGAGCGCTGGTTAATGTCTTTGGGAGTCTGCCTATGCCCGAGAAAAACAATATGCTTCGATTTATCATTAAATATGAGAAATGGAGTGAGTTTAAATCAGGCCTGTAAATTAAAACTAATTGCCATACGACTGATTATCCTATACACCTATAGGAGAGACACCTTGCTGAGTGTTCTATCGACACTCATCAAGGTCCTGGAAAAACGTTTTAAGGTTTCTCTTGCTCCTTGGTTAAATCACCAACTTCACTCATCTGAAAAGCAATTTGGCTTTAGAAAAGGCAAATCAACTGTGGATGCCATTGTTGATATGCAGAAGATGGTTGAGGAGCCCTTTTTGATATCACGGGAGAATTTGATAATGTGAAGTGGGACACAGTGTTGTCTCAATTGAGAGAAAGGAACTGTGAAGTTAGCTTATACAGACTTGTAACCAGCTTGGACCTGAATTCTGGAATCTGACAATGTATATCTCATTGAAAAGACACCAGGGCATATGTATCAAAGAGGTGGCCTATACGGATGACTTAGTAGCTTTGACTTATTATTCAAGGCCAATGCAGGAGGGAACTGGAGTGGTTGGCGCAGGAGTGTAGACATACTACAAGATTGGTGTGTCGAGCAGGGCAAAAATAAATGAATTAAAAATAATTAATAAGCATCTGGAAAATATAAATACTAGTGTACTTCAACATTTAAAAACGAATATTGTTAAAGAATGTGTTGATGTTAAAAAAAGTTGAAGAATTATCATATAAATGTGGAAATCCCGATATTGCAGCTGCAGATGCATTGGGTGATCCAAATGCAATGGTAAATGATTATAACATCTTTTAGAAGATTTTTAAACATGTACTGTTTGTTCTTAATATCGAATGTTTCTTTTGTAGGTTATGTTTGCTGGCGTAAAAATAAATGATGCTTTGTTAACAAAGGCTAAAGACGCAAAGATATGTTTGCGAGTTACTTATCTCTCTCAGGGTTATTGGTTACATTTTTTAGTTGAAAATATGATCAATAAATTTTGAAATATTTTTGGTTTTCAGTTATAATTGACAAACTTGAAGATGATTCGAATTTAAAAATTACCGATGTTGTACAACATTTAAATAACAGTCAATACATTAGAAAATATATTCTAGATGCTCCTAAAAGCTTACGCGCGCAGTCTTCAAAGAGTAAGAAATTGATTAAAATTAGTAATTTAACAAAATTATAATTTTTATTTTTAAATTTTATTTGTTATATTACTTCTGACAAACTATCGCCCAAAAAATATTTTTTTATACCACATGCACAAAAATGGCGCTTTTAGATAGTTGACGACAGGAAGTAAAGTCACTCATTTGTTCGACCGTATGAAAATGTCGACCATTTTCATACAAGTCGAACAAGTGAATGACTTTTACTCCCTGTCGTCTGCTATCTGAAATCGTCACTTTTGTGCATTAGGAATAAAAAATACCGTAAGTAACATGGGAATAAAGGCAGCTAATTTGTTTACGATGAATTTTGTGACACTCGTTTCGGTCTCTGTGCGCCCTCGACTTCCACTCGTGTCACAAAAATTACCGTAAACAAATGGCTGCTTACTTTGTAATTTCTAAATATTGTAATAGATATTTTGATACAATTAATAAAGATATAATACAATTGTTTCTATGTATTTATTTGATTATTCATGACATAAATGATAAATATCTATTATAATATGTTTAAACAGAATATTTTAAAATATAACATTGGAAAGTGTCCCATTTTCTCCACCTATAAGGGGTTACACCACTTTGACCCGACCACATTATAAGCTTTTTCATCGATTTTTATTGAAGAATAGAAATTTTGTTAAGAAAATTTTAATACAGTAGGGTATTAAAATTCTCTTGAACAACAAAAAAATATTTTTTTTCAAAAATAAAGGTCTGAAAGATTATATGGCGAAGTGCTTTACAAATGTATCGCCCCACCGTGCAGTGGACACTATAACTCAGTCCAGATTTGAGCTAGACCAAAGAATAACAAAAATTAGTTTCTGCAGCTTAAAATCTTGTGCGTATTTTTGTCTAAATTTCGTTTCTTAAAATTGTCTAGAAAATTTAAATATTTATATTTAGAAAAATCCGTACGTATTTAGCTAGATAATTATATCACAAACAAAATAAAAAAACTAAGAGGATTGATTAAAATTTGTGGCAGCCAAAGTGTTATCGAAGACTAAAACGGAGATGGTGTACCTCAAATTCACCCCCCCCATAACAGAAGACGATGAAAGTAAAAGAGCTCCTGTCGTCAAGTTGGACGACATGTTGGTTCTGCTCAAGAAGAGCGTTAATTGCTTGGCGTTCATATTGACGACGGAGTCAAGATGACGACGCACTGTACAAAAACAGCGGACAAACTCAAAAAACTAATGGCATTCATCTGGTAAGCAGCACCCAGAAGATGGGGGACTAGACTTCCATACAGTAAAACTGATGTATCGGGGTCTATTCCTGTCGATTGCAAAATATGCTGCTGTTCGATGGCAAACCTTGAGGTAAATGTAAACAGTCAGTTATATGAGTTTCAGGCTTATTAATATTATCTTGTGTTCCAAAAAATTTTTCTAAGGAAGTAAAGAAACAAGTTCATGCAAAAGAATTCTGTTAGTTTTACCGTTTAACAAAAAAATAGACGTTTTTGGTAAAAAAAATATTCCGTTTACATTTACCCCAAATGACACTACTAGTCTAAGTATGTGAAAATAAAATTTGTACTTATTAAAATAATATTTTACGTTATTTATGTTTAAAATTTAAACTTACCAGAGAAGGAAATAATAGTGTTTACTGCCACAGGGTGGACAGGTTCACCATCTGTTGCTATTAATGTAAGTGTGTGACCTTGGAAAGTAATTTGTGCTGGACAGACTGAACCAAAAGAATTAATAAGTCGGAAACGATAACGTCGTCCTGGTGTAATTGTGAAAACTTCCAAAGGAGTATTTGTCATGAAACCTGTGTTCGGATCCTGAAAAACTTAACTAATAAGTTTTTGGCAACTTTTTCTATTTTACTTATTAATCGAAAACACTCTATTATTTATTCATTTAGATATCGACTGCAACTATTGCAATTATAATTATCATCATTCATTAATACAATTATTATATGTACTGCAACGTTGATTTTAAATAATCACGTTATAAAAAATAAAATGAGTTTTGCCGAATCTTATTATATTAATTCTTTATTATTATCATAAATTATATATAGTGGCCAGACTCGAACTTAACATTTAATTCATTTATTATATCTTTAAATTGTATAGAGTCGACATAATACCAAATGTTGAGTTGTAAAAATATATCTTATATTACAAGGGAATTATACACTTCTTGGTAGATAGTAATTCACATTATGTCAATCATATACTTATTGAATTACTGGTAATTAATTATCAACCGACCGAAAATGTTCAACAACAATTGGGATTATTTGTCAAGAGATTATTTTCACGACTGAAAACTGACAACCACCTGTCAAAGATGTTGGATCTGTGATCATGCTGTAGAAGCAAACCCCATGCTAGATGGTGCGCATGATCTATAGAGTACTGAAGTATGTTCTGAGCAGCAATTAGTGGCGAAAATTTCTAAAAAATAGGTGGCTTATAGCACTAGAAAGAAATATTCAAAGTAAAATTTTTCAATTTTTGGTACAATATTACTCAGAAATTCCTCTTCTCTTTGAACTTTGATGTGAACATGATCAACTAATGAATAGACAAAAAATGACAAACATAAATACATAAAATTTACATTGATAGCATAATTTGAGTGTAGTTTACACTGCTTGCATTAAGCTTTTCATTATTGTTTTCATCAAAGAATAAATAAGACACGAAACACTTTTTTTCTTCTCTACTTTATTTCAAGCATTTTATTTCCACTTTATTTCCAAAAATTCAATTATTTATCGAGATTAATAATTATACCATTAGGACTGCAGGCCAAAAAAGGTTCACTCACAGAAATAAACAACCCGATTTCGTGTATTTCCAATCCAGTGTATTCTTCAAAAAATAGTTAATCATTTGTCTCCATTCTCTTTTCATATAACATGTGTTTATAGCTAATGATCCTAGCTGCTATTCATTAATAAATTGTTTCACTACGCTTGCTGGGTGTAAAATCATGATACCTCGGATTAGCGTTGAAAAACATGATACCTCGGTTTTGATTTGAAAAACATGACATATCGTCGTTTGGTTTGAAGAACATGACACGTCGAAAACAAAAAAATTTTATTCAAATTTTGGTTGGTACCACTGACCGCGAAATTTAAAATGTGTCAAATATTTGAAACTTATATGAAATAAATAATTTCGCTTCATAATATGTCAGGTCGAAGGAGAATAAGGTAAAATAATTTTTTATAACAACAGTTACAATTCATAAAAATATCAATTCGAGAAATGCAAATTAGCGAAACAACAATTACCAAAAATAACAACTCATAACAAAACAATTTCGCAAAAATTAACAATTAGCAGAAGCATCTATCAATTCTTTAGACTGTTAATGCGAAGAAAGCAAGTTTGCAAAAATAACAGTGAAAAAATTAATATTTTGTAAGAATGGAAATTTGCAAAAATGACAATTTACAAAATAACAATTGGCGAAAATAACAATTCTGTGACTTCCAATTCGCTATAAATCAAACTCTTTAAATTTAAACTTGAAATTCCACATAGAACTGAATGTATCCCCGATTCAAATTAAACTTAGCTTGATGATTTTTAATTTGACATGTCAAGTAGAATGTAGTATTCGAGAATCCAAATTGAACCAAGCAGATAATAAAACTTAATTTTTGTATTTGGAATTGCAAGCTGATACTTTTAGTATGTGCGAACTTGGAAATGCAAGTAGAAATTATAAGATTAGAAATCCATGTTAAAACAAGTCGAAACAAAAATTGAAGAGGACAATCCAGAATAAATCCATTTCAATTTTATATTGGATATTCATTTCAGTTACATAAATCGGATTTCGAAGTTAAAACCAGTAGACACCAGTAGATCCATGTTCAATTTCTACTAGTCTCAACTGGTTCTTTAATATAGGGAATTAAAATAAATTTCATGTCGTGAAATATTTAAAATTATATGAGTAAAGTGCAAGATTTTACTTTGATTTTAATCTCTTATCATATATTTTTTAAAAATGTAATATAACAAATCATTTTAAATTTCGCGGTCAGTGGTACCAAACAAAATTTCAATAAAAATTTTTTGTTTTCGACGTGTCATGTTCTTCAAACCAAACGACGATATGTCATGTTTTTCAAATCAAAACCGAGGTATCATGTTTTTCAACGCTAATCCGAGGTATCATGATTTTACACCCAGCAAGCGACTAGTTTCAAGAAACTTTCGCCAGTCTCTTCCTTTTGTGATTTTATTCTGTGGGCTCTTGAAGAGCAGGTTATTCTAACGAACCGTTCTTTAAACCATAGAGAGCAACCAGATTGGCTTTTGGATAAAAGACAAACGTCCAAACATTTTTTTATTTACACCCACACCGCATCGAAATTTTGCTAAAAGTTGAAATTACCTTAAGTGCAATGTTCGGAATCTTTAGTTACGAGGCTATTTAAATTTGAAGTAATTCTTTAAATTTCGACTGCCTTTCAATGTTTGACGCGAAAGTTGACTGAACATTGCATGAAAGTTTAAAATTTCTTCAACTCTCATGCAATGTTCAGTCAACTTTTACATCAAACATTGAATATCATCGGGCATTTAAAGAAAAACTTCAAGTTTCATAAGCTTTGCACCAAAGAATTCGAAGGTGGCAGTCAAGCTAATTTCAACTTTCAGGAAATTTTCGGTTCTGTGTGGGCAGTAATTAATAAAAAATCATTAATATTTTCATCACAGTCGAATTTATAATTTACCTTTAATTTTATTTTGATATAATCTTCTGAATTATTTGACACAACTTCGTAATTACGATGAACCGGAAACAAAGAATTTTCATCCAGGACTATTAATTGTTCAATTACTTCCGTAGTAATTTCTTCTTGTTCTCGAATCAATGCCTGTCTATCATTTTTCTCTTCAATGCATTTAATTTCGCTTTTATTAATTCGAATCATATTTGAATTTTCTTGTAAATGTTCAAGCGAAAAATTTTCTACGTCGTCAATTTTGAAAACATTACAAACTCCTGGGATAATTGATTTTGGAGGATATAAAGTTTCTATCATATAACCTTTACTATATTTTGCTAACTGACAATCTGAAGGTTTATTGTACAACACTGGTTAGTTTGTTTTTGATATCGCATTTTCAAAATTAATGAAAAGACAAACAGCAACAGCAAGCTTAAAAAACTTTTCCAGCTTTACAGTCGCAATGCGTATCCGAAATTGATAGATTTGTAGTAAGCTGTAAAAAATTGTATTTTAAATTAACAAAGGTTGACAGGTAATCATATTTAATCAGGCTATTAGTATTTAAATCAAAATTATATTTATTAAAATATTTTGTGCTTTTAAAAAGTTGAAATTAATTAAATCGCTAAAACGTCACCATTATATTTCATTTTTTTAATCTATGTTCTGTATTAAACTTATTTATATTATTTATTTCAATATTTTAATTTAAGATAAATAAAATAATTATTGTTATTCCAATTTAATAATATATATAAACAAAAGAAGTTTTTAAAAAGAAACAATTGACATTTATATAAATAAATATAAAAGAATTATTTACTTCACCTGAAATAATATTAATGTATGATTTTACTTACCTCGTCTTTGAAATTTAAATTTGTTTGATATTCTTTTACTTTTAGAACCTGGTGTTTCTTTCAAAACAGTAACTACATAATTTTATTATCGAATTCGGACACTTTGCTTACATAATGACTATTTAATAATCTAGCACCTTTCGCGAGACTTTTCTTTCGAATAATAGATATATCTATTTGTTAAAAACCGCTTTTAATTATAATTGACATTTTCTCAAATATTATTACCTAATAATAATATTAAAAATATTTGGTTAAAAATAAACTTTGGTCATTGTATACGTACATAAAGTCAGGTTAAGCCACCATCTCTTTTTAAAAAATTTCCGCTAGAGGCGCTGCAAATTACTTTCTGCAGATACTTCAGAACTCTATATACGAGACCGAAGCAGGATGTATGTTAACCTAATTTCACCAGTTCGTGCGCCTACCTACCAAGGACTAGATATAGTGTGGCCGTGATTATGGGTCCTAAATTTATAAAAGATTGTGAAGATGGAATATCGACAATTACTCGATAAAATAAAAGGTTAGTGCTCAGGATGTCTCTTCCTCGTTATCGATGCAGTCGAGAGATAACGTTTCAACTAAGGACCCAGTCAAAATCTATGTAGAATCTAAATCGAGATCTATATAGGTGTCGAAATAGAACGCCACAAGACGTCTATAGACGTCGAAATTGTTGTCTATTAGACGTCTACGGAGCAGAAAGCGGCTGCTCATTTGCAACAGACGAGTAGTCTATTTGACATCTTAGATGCTAAGTAGATATCTAATCGCTGTCTAGGACTTCGAATAGATAACTTAATTCTTGTTGGTGCCCACTCATGTGATGCATTTGAGCGAGATATACGAGCAATGAGAAAGAATGAGAAAATATCTCATTGTTTTGTTTTAAATCTCGTCTCATCTCATCGCATACAATCGAGATTCTCAAAAGATCGTAAATTTTGAGCATCTTCTTAATATTTATGTTAGTGTCAAAATTTACGAATTTACAAATGTCAATATAGCAAATTTTATTTTAAAAACTGCTTTCAAAATTAATATCATGAAAATAAAAATATAAAAGAACACAAAAATAGTTCTAATATAATATAAATGTATATAAAATAGATGTAATAAATATGAATAGAAAAAATAAAAATTTGGTTAGAAAACTTCTCACCAAACGACTGGTGGAGAGTAAATATAAATTTTGATCAAAATGATAATGAAGGATACTGAGTGAACAAAATGCACGACAAGTGAAAATTATTTTCAGTTTAATGGATAAATAAATACTTCTGCATTTAAGATATTTATTAATAAATTAAAAGCAATAAAAATTAATAAACTTTTGAAAATAAATATAACATGTAAAATATATTGTGTTAATTAGATAGTATTGCTAAATGTAAAAACCTGTAAGGATACAATTTTTTCATAAATTTATTCATTTATTCGCTGATTTGTCATTTATCTAGTGACAGTTGCTGACATGAGATCTTAGTCGAGAAATGAGACGATACGAGATGATCAAAACAAGAAATATTGAGATTCTCAATTTGCAAAGTAGTTATAAGCTATTTTCGAGCAACGTGAAATGAGCGATATGATCAATATTCTCATATCAACGTGCATCACTACCACTATCAAAAAATGAGAGGTACAATGGGCGACTTAGACCATCTATTCGATATCTAAGTAATTGTAAATACGTCAGTTATACTGGCACTAATACACGATTGGATTAGTTCTTTAAAAAATTTCGGACATTTGTAAAAGTTGCCATTAGACGCAATATAGTACACTTACTTGCTTCCCAACAGTGTCAATATCCCAGTAAAAAAAGCAGGATTTAAAGAGAGCGAATAGTATTTTCGGTGAGTTTCTGCCAATACGTTTTCGCGTGAAAACCGTATTGGGGGCATTCTGCCAATCCTGCTTTTTCACCGTCAATACTGTCCTCTTGAATCTTTCGATTTCACGTTCATTGACTCGACTTGAGTGTGTACTGTTGATCTATTACCACATGACTTAGGGAGCTTTCGACGTTCGCGCTAGGGGCGCCGTGAGTATAAGTCACAGCGCTAATCTAGAAAATATCCTAAATCATATGATAATAGACCAACAGTTTGTCAAATTTCATTTATTTACATTTTAACAAATTTTATATTTCCTCTTCGTTATCAGCATTTTTACACATTAAATTAATCAGCCTTTTTGATTAAAATGCCAAATCGAGTCAATGAACGTGAAATCGAAAGATTCAAGAGGACAGTATTGACGGTGAAAAAGCAGGATTGGCAGACTGCCCCCAATACGGTTTTCACGCGAAAACGTATTGGCAGAAACTCACCGCCAATACTATTCGCTCTCTTCCAATCCTGCTTTCTTTACTGGGATACCGAGTACGTTAATATAGTGGAAAAATGACTGATCTAACAATTTTCTTTGTTTTGCTTACTTGAAGAAATTTAGAAAATATTAAATAGTATAAAATGTGTGAAAAATTATACCAAACGGCTAAATGACAAATATAAATATCTTTGAAGTCAAATAACTTTTACATCTATATTTAACATTTCTATACCAAATCTAGACCTAGATCTCCTCTCAATTTCTTAGACGTCGGTTAGACCTTTGATTTATCATTGGGCGACCACATGGCATGTCGGTAGGACGCCGCAATTTTCGATCGACCAACGAATATTACGAACATCAACAGCATCCGGGGACGTAGATATACCACATGGATAGTTTTGGGAGAGAGGTGTTCGTCAAGAATTCACGTGGACTGATTGTGAGTATATTCAAAAACGGGTATCACTTTTCTAAGTTCAAAATGAGTTTTAAATTATACATTTGATTGCTGACAAATTTTAGTCCAAAATTGTTTAAATCATTTGAATATATATAATTCATTGAACTTAGTAACCATACACTGAGAAAACTGGAGTATTGGACTAAACATCTGGAGGGACAAATCGTTGATATTTGAGAGTTAGCTATTGGATAACAATCTAAATGTTCAAATACACCATTGACAGATATTCGTGCCATTTCTCTTGGAGGGAAAATGAGTTTATAACAGAGGGACAAATTAACCATCTTGAGAAATCCCTTCCTTATCCGGCGCGAAATGAATAAATATGGCAACCTAACCCCTAAATTAAATACATAAAATGTCAGAAAAATAATTTCGCGCGCATCAGATCGTACACATTTTCTGCGCAACTTTTAACCCTCAGATATAATGGGAGAGAATATACAAGTAGATTTCCATTATCAATTCAAAATTTATTTTAGAAGGACTATTCAACTCTCTTCATAAGCAAAGGAAACATACACTTTTTGAACCTCTGAATTTGACTCTCCAGTTTTCTCAGTGTACAATAATATAATGTTTAAAATAGTTATTTGTGATACAAGGACCCTAAGCGGCACTTTGTGAGATGAGTAGGACATGCTGGACGAGCCAAGTCAAGGCGGATCCGAAGCGAAGGCGAGTTCATCAACGTCATACGAGTTTAAAGTACTGCGTAGGGTCCGTTATATTCTCTTTAATTAGAAATCATTAAAATTTAGTAGAATTCATATAGAAATTATATAGAATATTTACTGAAATTTATATTGAATGATTCTATAGAATGATTAAAGTGAAATTCTATACAACTTTATCAGCTGGGACAGTTTGACCCATAATCAACTTCTATCGATAGCAGAAACCAAGAATTTTTATTTTTTGCCGAAACACAAAAAAAATTTTTTGTTAGAAAATTATTAGGGGAGATTGTTGATGGTTGAACCTACGTTTCAGTTGGGTCATTGCGTTTTCGTCGTTTTAGCGCACTAGCGTCATCTTTTTTCGCATGCAAATACTTGTAAGCGATTGTAGACCTGTCACGTCACTCAGTGATTAGAAGGCTGCCAAAAACTTTATCAAAAATTTGAAAAACGGAAAAACAAACAAATAGGATGAAAATAAAGTCAAGTTGACTAATCTCTTCCTTTTAAGTATACTAATAGTACACTACCGGCGAAAATTGTGCGACTGCTAACACCTCGAGACATTAAAAAACACACCCGCACAAAAACAGTGATAACTTCGGCAAAAATAAAGTTAGATGATTTTTTAAAATTGCATTGGAAAGCTTATTAAATTTCCAATAAAAAAACACTATTTTCATTTGTATTGCATAAATAGGAAGCGAGATGTCATGTGTTATAAACACAAAAATAATTATATATTTCGAATTTCTTACTCTGACTTTGACTCCTGGCAAAATTTGGAAAAGTTGATGAAAAAATTTTTACTTTTACAGACTGTTCCTTGCAATCTAAGCTTTAAATAGAGACCAAGAACAGCACAAAATATTAATGGGTTCCCGAGATATTACAAAAACAGGCGTACCGTGAAAATTGAAAATGTAATAAGCTTTCCAATTCAATTTAAAAAAACGATTTAGCTTCATTTTTGACGAAGTTATCACTGTTTTTGTGCGGGTGTGTTTTTTAATAGCTTTAGGTGTTAGCGGTCGCACAATTTCCGTAGGTAGTGTATATGATAATTTATATAGTGTAGCACGCTGTATCACCTGAGTGTCATGGCGATATCTATCAGGAATATTCCTGTAATACTGGAGAAGTGTCAAAATGTCCGCTTCTTGGGGATGTGAGGGACATACTAAGGGATAATATTGGTCATACTAAGGGAATATCCCTGTGACATTCCTGCGATATTGAGGGGATATTGCTGTGACTTTGAGAAGACTTTGATGTGATATAAGTGGGAATATTGCTGCGATATTGCGGGGATATTTCACAGAATTTTTGCTATAATTTCAAATTTTTAAATAATAGAAAAAATTTTGTGAAATATCCCTTTAATATCGCAGCAATATTCCCATCCATATCACAGCAATATCTCCTCGATATTTCTGATATCGACAGAAGACATTGATAGATAATCCTGCAGTTTTGCACACGTTTTATTGATCAAAAAACGCAACATTTTTTCACTGTTAAAATATGATTTTAAAAAGATGTAATTTTTCGGACCACACTAATAAGTACCTATGCTGACCGGTAATTATCCAAGAGTAATCAAGGGCGAATTATATTTTTACTTTTATGCATTGAACTATCATAATCATATAGATCTAACTATACTGCATGACTGGTACTTTTCTGGACTTTTTCCTTAAACCTTTTCGCAGTAGTTTTGCCAAAGCTTCTTAGAAGATGGCGTGTTATGTTTAACCATAAAAAATATTTCACAGCCAAATACATATGTTTTGTTACAAATAAATTTTATTTGGCGTAAGTAAAAATACTAATTGCGCCAATAAAAATTTCGTTTATGATAAATAAAACTTTGATATACTTAGTATAAGATGTTATTTCATTTCTTAAATTTACTTACCTACTTACCAAAATGAAAAAATTTCTTCAAAATCGAAAGCTCATACTTCGGGGAATACGAACCTAATGAGCTCTTAACTTTTATGAAATGACTGTAATGGATATTACTGTACTCATATGCATAGAGGCATTATACTAAAGGTATAACATATTACCGTTAAAAGGAATAGACACAAACACATATACATATGGAGATTTCATTAAGATCTCATATTATAACATTTCTAAGTAGAGGAAAATATTCTAATCATTTTGATTTGTTTTTAAAAAAACGAGTGAGAAGAATCATTATTACTATGAAGTTGTATAAAGAATTAATATTTACCCTAAATTGACCTTTTCCATTAATAAGAACTGTTTCGGGGTCTTGTCCGACATTAACTGCTAATCTTCCAGGATATCTTTCTGCAGCATCCTCGTGCATCCAATCGCTTATAAGAATAACGTGAGTGGTTAGATCATAATCATAAAGATTGCTATTTGGATCTTTGCTTGGAGGTTGTCTGACAATAACACTTCCGTAAAGTCCATCCATTTTCTGTAAACCTGTATGCGCATGCCAGAAATGTGTTCCAGCATTGCCAGCTGTCCACTGATACCTATAACAAAAGAAAGGCAATTAACCACTAACGGCATATATTGAGATATTAGCCCTTTTAGTACATCTACTTTTACATGGAGGTACAATATTGTAATAATACCCATCCATGTATGTAGCAAGTAATATTATCTTAATATAACTGTAATATTACAGTGATCTTGCTGGTATATTTCCAGCTTAAAATTCCCGTATAGAATGCACACGTTTTCACCAAATACGGTAAGTCATTTTCTTATGCGAATATACCTGTTCATCTAACGTATAAGTTTGACAGATCCTGGTTTCCTCACTGTCATCGTACAAAAATGTAAAATGTTTTTAATATACATTAAATAAAAGATACAACAAAATGGGGATTAGGAAAAGAAAGTCAAAGAAGGTAGTAAATTCTAATAAATTAATGAATAGATATTTCTCTAAATCGTTAATTAATTATCGCGGTATTGGGATCATCGCGGCATTTGGCACACAGTATTTGGGTCATGAAGTTCCTGGCATCCCGGAAATGCATGCACTTACATTAATTTTTAAAAAGATTTTTATGTAATAAATTATATCTTGTACGATATTATTATTTTGTTATTAACAAAAAGAAATGTTAAAAATCAATTTTAAAATAAAATTACACATAAATAATAATAATTTTATATATTTTTTAATTTTAATAATAAATAAAGAAGTTAACAATTTTTTATTAATTTTCTGTAAATCTTCTAAATATTGTTCATCTTTAGAAAAAGTGATTTCAAAGAAAGATTGTTGTAATGTCCAGTCTTGTTGCGCGTAAAGTTTTTCTTTTTTTACTAAAACCAACAATATTAAAACACTTGCTTTGATATTGTTGGTTTAAGTAAAATGCAAGAAAAACTTTTCACTCAGTTTTGTAATATTGGGGATTACAATAAACAGAACATTTTACTTAGCTCAATGATGAAGAACAAAGAACCCCAATAAAATGAACGATACGAAGCGTCAAAGATTAGTGTCCTGGATGTATCTATTTCCAACTGATAAAAACAATTTACCAGTTTGAAAACAGTTTTTGATCAGTGTATTACAAATAGGAAAATCAAGAATAACTACTTTTCAAGAAAAAATACTGACGGGTGGACATTTAGAGAATTCTCGAGGAGAACATATGAACCATAACATAACACTGACAGAAGAGGTAAAAACAGTAATTAAAGAGCATTGCTTGTCCATCCCACACCAAGAATCACATTACACATGAGAATTGAGGAGCTGGATCGAAGAACCGGCTCTTCGCTCGAACTCACGCAGAAGATAGTCCCTTCGTCAGTTATGTCATGAAAATTTAAAACTCAAAAAAAAAAATATTTAAAAATTATGACGTTGTAGAGGAGAAAAAAATACATCTTTTTTCTATTTACAATTTTTTTCTAGAATGCAAGTTATTAATACTAAAAAATAAAAACTAAAAAATTTTTTTCTGAAAAATTAATTACCTTTTGATAAATATATCGTCATTTCTCAGTCAAATATTAATGAAATGAACCGATTTTTTTTAGGCTTGCACAATATACCTTACCGAAGCCCACAGGCCAAAGTAAAGTCCAAAAAAACAAATTGTTTATTAATTATTAATTTTGAAAGTTGTTATTTACAACAACAGAAATATCAATTTTCAACGAGAAAAAGTATGCGACGAAATTTCACATTATGAAAACTTCTGGCGAGAAAGTTTTTCCTTTATTATTCAGGAAGTTTTTCCAAAAAGAATTAAACCGATTCGATGAGAAATAAAGAAAATAAAAGAAAAATAGCGAAACAGTATTTTCGTTCGCAGCGAAAACCCTGTTCGGTAGCCATGTTTATCATATGACTCGTAGCTTACGCACGCTCACACACTCACGCTGCTGTGTAAAATAGAAATGTGTGCGTGCGTACGTTACAAGTCATATGATAAACATGGCTACCGAACAGGGTTTTCGCTGCGAACGAAAATACTGTTTCGCTATTTTTTTTTTATTTTCTTTATTTCTCATCGAATCGGTTTAATTCTTTTTGGAAAAACTTCCTGAATAATAAAGGAAAAACTTTCTCGCGAAAAGTTTTCATAATGTGAAATTTCGTCGCATACTTTTTCTCGTTGAAAATTGAAATTCCTGTTGTTGTAAATAACAACTTTCAAAATTAATAATTAATAAACAATTTGTTTTTTTGGACTTTACTTTGGCCTGTGGGCTTCGGTAAGGTATATTGTGCAAGCCTAAAAAAAATCGGTTCATTTCATTAATATTTGACTGAGAAATGACGATATATTTATCAAAAGGTAATTAATTTTTCAGAAAAAAATTTTTTAGTTTTTATTTTTTAGTATTAATAACTTGCATTCTAGAAAAAAATTGTAAATAGAAAAAAGATGTATTTTTTTCTCCTCTACAACGTCATAATTTTTAAATATTTTTTTTTTGAGTTTTAAATTTTCATGACATAACTGACGAAGGGACTATCTTCTGCGTGAGTTCGAGCGAAGAGCCGGTTCTTCGATCCAGCTCCTCAATTGTTTTCGTTATTATATTTTATTAATCCGGAAATAACTTTGTGCATTTTATATAATTTATTTCTGGATTATTATTCCGCTGTCACTGGAAAAACGACATTTGCAGTAAGTCAAGCCACGTGTGAAAATTATTTTAATTATAATTTAAACTTTTCATTCCGTTTACTGAAAACTGACGTTTGCAATAAGTGTTTCGAAAGTTTTCTTCAAAAGACTATACATATTATGGTTCTATTAATGTGCAACGTCCACGTATTTTATTCAGAGAAGAGAAACATGTTTTCTTTTCTATAAAAGGAACAAAAAAAGGGGCCAACAGTGTATCCAGTTTCCTAAATTATACTATTGAAAATGAATTTAATGTAGATCGTCATAAAAAGATTATTCTATTCTCAGATGTTTGTAGCGGTCAGAACCGAAATTACACTATTTTAAAGTGTTTAGTTAATACTTTCTATTAAATTAGGAGTCGAGATCTGCCATGTTTTTCTTGTTTGCAGACATTCTTTTTGTCAGCGCGACAGGAATTTTGGGATGTAGGGGAGAGTGGGTCAAGACGGGGTACTTAAGGTTTAAAGCGCAAAAAAACGAAAATTATCGAATATATATTTTATTATTATTTTTAATTATCATCTTTGGGAATCAGTCTTTCGTAAAAAAGGCGTATAAAAGCCATCTGTTTCTTAAAAAAGCTTATAATTAATAATATTGAAAAAATTGCAAATCTCCCCATTTTGTCCCACCGGCGGGTAAGATGGGGTACCCTAAGGGGTAAGATGAGGTACTAACAAAAAAACAACCTATTTCTGTCGACAAATTTCACAAGTAAAGGTTGCATCTTCATCTTCATGCATAACTGCAGTGAGCCCATTGGCCGCAGACAGAAACAGCAGCAGGTGTATTTTCCACTTTACCATCGCTAATTGATGATTTAACCTGACAAGCTTTTTTCTTTTTGGTCACTCTTATTTTATTCAGTCTTGATTTTAGTAGTTTTCTTAACTTCTCTTATTTCTCTTTTTTTTGCTTAATTTGTAAACCCCGTCTTGCCCCACTCTCCCCTACCCCATCTTGCCCGCACCTACGAAATTGAATAAAACGATTAATTACTACAATTTACGATTCAACAAAGAAAAAAACACATGCTTCTCTTCTTCTGTAACCCTTGACAGTTAGACAAAAATTTATACAGTTCATTAACTGTTATTATTAAATAATAAACACCTCCTAAAAAAAGTAAAAAAATTACAAGATAATTTTTTTTAAATTACAAGATTTGTTCTCATGGCTTTTAGGTTTTGTAAACAAGAAACTATCGTCTCGGTGCAGTATTATGTAAAATATAATCGTGATTGGTGAATTCGTTTGTTAAATAAGGCCGGTACCCCGTCTTGCCCCACTCTCCCCTATTCCCAAAAGAAGAAGAAAATAGAAGTAATTGAAACTGCTGAAGAATTACACCGGCACATAGAAAAAAAAATTTGATTGCCAGGACTGCCATGTGGTAGGTTTTCTTCCTTAAGGTGTATCTAAAGAGAAAAACATTGTCCAACCTAAAAATTAGTTCGTGTTCTCTTTTTACAGGCTTGGTGTGGGGGTGAAGTTTGAGAAACTGATTTTTATGAGAATTTACTTAATTTCTATAAATAAAGCTGAATTTTTGCTTCTTCTGAATGTTTTTTTGAATTCAGTAACTTTAATAACATAAGAATTGAATATATAAAAAAATAAAAATGGCGGATTCAAAATGGTGGATTTAAAAAAAAATTGTTCAGATTTCCTTGAAACTTGTTACTCGGGGGTTTTTGAGGTCGCTGATTACGAATCTAACATCAGATTTTTAAAATTCAAAATGGCGGATCCAATATAGTGGACGAAATTTTCAAAAATTCCTCGTATTTACTTAAAACTCGTTACTCGGGGGTTTTCGGGGTCGCTGATTACGAATATGATGTCAGTTTATAAAAATTCAATATGGCGGATCCAATATGGTGGACAAAATATATTTAAATGAATGAAATCGATTGAAACTTGCTACTCCGTGGGAATTTTCGAGGTCGCCGAATACAAATCTGATGTTGGGTTTAAAAAATTAAAAATGGTGTATCCAATATGACTCACGATGAAATTGTTCTCAGATTTTCTTGGTTCTTGGTACTCAGGTGTTTCCTCTAGTCGCTAATTTTAAATCTGAATTTTTCATAATCTAGAAATGGTTTACTGTAAATGTTTTACTAAAATTTAATCGCATTTCTGTGATACTATAATCTCAAAAAGTTTTTGACCTATTTAAAATTAGTTTTTGCGACTAGGACACCTCCCCGTGGGGAAGGAATTCTCGGCTTAGTTTCTAGGTTAAAGTTATGCCTTCATGGCAAAAGTAGGAAAGAAGTTTACGATGCAGAGGAGGGATACCTCAGTATTGGTTTTTTGAGGTTATGTCAATATCCTGATCTGATGGGGTTAAGTGGACC